AAATATGTAAGAGGTAACATGTGAGTTGTGTGCCGGATGGGGTCGGAATGTTTATAATACAGAGAACAGAGGTGACAGGTTGGCATGGTGCCAGGTGCACTTCACCCACCATGAGATGCTTCCTGCTTCGTGGTGCAATGTTTCGTGCTAATCTTGAGTTGCCACGGGCAACTGACACATTTAAGTGATGAAACTGAGTGATACCCTACATTCACTCTTCTTTCCTCCAGCCTCTTTAAAGACAAACCCATTCTACAATTAATGATTTCCACCGATGTATTTGAGCTATCATGCTGTATGTTTTCTTTGTAGCATTTCTGGATGCAGCAGATTTAATGAGATAATTCTGCTTTCAAAATGTGTCCTTCTGGTTCTGCCTAATAATTCACTGTGCCCTCAGCCAAGCCTCAGTGGATCCAGACCATGAAGGACACGGCCCTGGCCATAGAGGAGAGACTAGACTGGGAGTGCCGAGCCAATGGCAAGCCCAAACCCTCCTACACGTGGCTGAAGAACGGCCAACAGCTTCTCTCAGAGGTAAATTACTGCCTGTCTTCTTCCACCAGGCAGTGTTTCATTTTAAAGACTTAATCTTTAGCTTCAGCTCATCCTATGATTTCTGAGAGGCTTGCAACAGACACGTTGCTGTTTTCCAAGTGCAATTCAGAGTGAGATGAGAGGAGAGTGTAAACATTTTACTGAGGTGTGCCAGTGATAAGAAGTGGATGTAACTGTCTCCTCTTCTGCTCTACCTTGGCAGATTACACAGTCTTAGAGAGTGGATCAGTGCAGTCCCTGGGAGATTACTCCATTTCAGTGACTGTTTTTCATTATTCGTGGTGCATGTTAAAGCTCCTCCAGATTTAGGGACAATGAGTTTAATCTACTGTGAGTTATACTGTATAAAGCAGCACACTTTACTCCAGACCACCAGAGAAATACATGCCGTTTTGTGTAGTCTCAGAGCCATAGCCTGAAACTTGGCTGACTTTAACATGCTGCTGAGATTTACTTTCTTAGTAACATTTAATAATGCTCAGGGTGAGTCATACATTTTTTGCATTAAGCCGCAAATACAGCATTTTTAAATGTCGTTTTCTTATTTGATTTTATGAATATTTTCACTATTGCCAGGTTTAGAAAGTGATTAGAATGTTTGCCAATAATGTAGCAGTTACTTTTCAGGATATCAGTTTTATATATATACTGTATATATATAACTGATATAGCCTATATGGCTTATGACATGAATACTGTTGTGACCGTGTGTAAACTTTAATTAAAATGATATTGAGAATGAATGTGAAAGTTTAAACTTCACAGACGAAACAAACAATGACTTAGTTTTATGGATATTTGAGTGGGTTTGCAGCATTATGCAAAGATTTTAATGCAAAAGCCTGATGTGTATCACCTCTAATATCTATTCTGAGTATATCATGCATCAAAATTGCTTGATGATGCATACAGTATATGGGAAAAATTCAGACACAAACCTCATGAGCCCAATTTTTATAATAGGATATTAGTCTTAAAAATAGCTAGAGACAGGACCAGCAAACTATAAAGACTAATTTACATGGTGGTAAGAGAAAGCACAGTTATATTTGAAAATTTGTTTAGTGCTCTTGACTGATTCATTCTCTGGACGATAATCCTGGTTTGCTTTATGCCTACTGACAACGCCTCTCATCCAGTCCAGTGCCTATTGTGTTTTGCTAGAACACGCTGAGTAAAGCAAAAATTGTCTTTAACTCTACAGCGATAATTGCTTTCTTTCATGCTTTTCTTCACAGGACAGGATCCATGTGGCGGATGGAATCCTGTCAGTGTCAGCGCTGACGCTCTCTGACGCCGGCATGTACCAGTGTGTGGCTGAGAACACACATGGTGTCATATATTTCGCCGCTGAACTAATGGTTTTAGGTAGGATGGCATTTATCTCTCCCTTAAATCATCAAAGCATTGTTGCCAAGGAATCTTAAAGGTCATCTTACTGTTATTCTTAAAGGTTGTCTGGATTAACGGATAATGGGGTCAGCGAGGATGGTTTTGTGGGGTCAAACACATTTAAGAAATATTTTTCCTTCATGATATCCTGATTTACTTTGATGCAGTGGTGAGGATGGAGGGATAGACACAGGATTTAAAGTCAAACATGATCTTTTACAGTAAAACCTTTTAAATCATGTATTTTATTCTCAGATGGAGTTTCTATATAAATCCCTTTATACATAGAAAATAGTAGAAAAACTCCTCAGTAGTGGTTCAATTTTATATCATTTAATTACCATTAAGAATAAATTAAATTATCTGTCTCCGTCACTTTAGGATTTTCACAGATCAACCCTAAGCATGCCCTGTGCGATTTGCTTACTAATGCTAGTTTATTGTTTCCCATCAGCATCGCCTCCAGACTTCACAGGGAATGTCCTCAGAGCTTTGCTCAAAGCAAAGGCAGGGACAACAGTGGCTTTAGGCTGTAAACCGCAGGCCTACCCTATCGCCAGCATTTTGTGGAAGAAAGGAAACCTGCCTATACACACCAATGACAGGTAATGACTGAACTGAAAGGAGCTGCAAGTGTGCAAGTATCGATGTTGATGTATGCATATAATCAGTCAGTATTTTTTTTTTGTATAAGTGAGATGAGAGCAGGTCCGTTATTTATCCCAATCAAAGCTTTGGTCTAACTGATCAATATTCAGTGCACATACACAAACCACTTAAGTGCAAAATGCTCATAATCATGTAGGGCCTTGACATATACTATTGACACGTAGACAGAGTTTGTCTAATGACTTATCAGTTTATCTAATTATAAAATGACTCTTGGAAATTAGCTTGTAAACTGCTGTCTTTGTTTGTATAGGATCACACTTTCTCCAGATGGAACACTGAGGCTTGCCAACGTGAGCAAGTCTGATGCAGGCAGCTATACGTGCTTTGCTAGGAATAGATTTGGCATGTCGAGTACAACTGGAAGGCTCCTTGTCACTGGTAAGTGCAGCTGTTAAATCGCGCTCCACTTAGTAAGCAGAATTTATGGCTCAGTATGGATTAACACAGGAGAGAGCTACTGTACTGCGAGGACTTGAGTCAATATCTCGTGGGTTGAAAACACAAACTCTAGGTTTCTCTCCAAGGAGTGTGTCAAAACTCTGGCAAGCATCCTTGTGGGACTAAACATAAAGTCTTAATTTATAATTAAATAGCAGCCTTAAAACATTTTAGATCACTATTTCAAATGTAATTTATTTGATTTGAGTGTGTGTAATAATGTCACCAACTTGAAAAACCTTGTGTCTTTCAGTTTCATTCTATTGAGTTGTTTTGTCCAGCTGCATTGTGCAGTGGCTGCAGTATTGCACTTAGAAGATGTTTGAGAAATACTCAATCACTGTTTTCCTCAAAGCAGTTGAAAGAACCATTTTACAGCGACAAATGAAAATGCCCTGAGTGGCAGCAATGAAAGCATTAGTGAAGAGTTGTCACAGATGCTATTATTGCTGAGCATATTTCCAGTGGAGTGATAGTTGAGTCTTCTCCAGGGTTCTTATTAACGTGCTGAATGCTATTGTATGCCACTGAAACTAAACCAGTTATTTATTTATTTTTTTTAATTATTGGAGTATTTTTCAAGGCTGTAATGTAGTCAGTGACACAGGGCTATGACCCAGACATTGATTATTACTAGCCTGGGAACTGAGGGGACACTTTTTATGTGTCATTCTTTTTCTTCCTTGACAGTCTACTTAAAGTGAGATGTGAGAGCACAAATCGTCTTCCTTTGTGGTGTATCTTTCTTATTTGATTCCAGCAGATTCATTATATTGTGTTTTGAAGCACAGCAGACATAGTCAAATTATTGCTACAGCAGACTTTGAAGCAGTCTCCCTGGTTTTTGTTCCAAATGCACAGAGCGGCCCATTACATGAAGTTTTATCTGATCCATAGTGTATTGTAATTGCTATTAGGATTTCAGAAGATTATACTAGCTGTGTCAGCCTAGAGTATTAGACCATTTTAGTGGTGGCGGGCTGCATGTTATCACGTTATTCCTCTAAGGCTTTCGTGAGACCTTTCTTGATGTAGATAACACTGTAGTGCCTTTGACGTAGTGTATTAGAGAACATGCTCTTAGTGTCATGTCACTAGTGTGACTGTATTTCAGCAAATCAACAAAGCACTGCTCATCTCCTTGCAATGAAATGTCTCCGCCACCCTGTCAGAAATGTCTGCCTCTCATAATGTGCTTTGTGTGGGGCAGATCCAACCAGAATCATCCAGGGGCCAGTGGACATGGAGATCATTGTGGGCGAGAGCATAGTGTTACCCTGTCAGGTCGGCAGTGACCCTGTCCTTGACGTTTCTTTTTCCTGGGCCTTCAACGGACAGCTCATCGCCAAGGGAGACGGCCACTTTGAGCTAGTGGGTGGGGTGAGTGACCGGCAGTCATACTTCTTCAGAACGTGTGAATGGGCAGTTGGCACCTCTTTCCATCTAGTCTCAATTCACCCCTGCCATTAGTTAAAAGGGACAGCTTGCGGTTTGACATCATGGTATCTTTTGGAAAGATTTACTGTTGCTAGTTTTGCCTCTGTTGGTGTGATACCATCCTTTTCGCAACTCTCAAAGTCTCCTTGGAGGCGTCATAAGCCCTAGGAATCTTTAGAAGAAGTGCTATTAGATTATTCAGTCCCTCTAAGCTCCCAGTTGTACTTCTGTGAATAGTAACATGGCCGTCGCTACAGTATGTCACAATACGCTTCCACATAAAAACCATCATGTAGGTAATGGGTTAGATGCTCAGTCATTGTGACAGGTTGTCATTTTTTTAGTACACTTCTACTTGAGCTCAGCCTTGTGAAGTAATCTATTTTTTAATACTTTGGCTACTCTTGAATTCTTCTCAAATCCTACTTTGACATAGCCTGCTGCACAGCTCCTCATAACAGAAAGGGGATACACATCATTAGATGTGTCTTTTAAAGGAATGAAAGCATAGCAGAGCCCCAAATGACAAAACACTTTCGCACCACGCTCACATCATTCAAGATTAACCATTCTTCCTGTGTGTGTGTGTTTGACTGACAATTTTCTTATCTGAAAAGAGACTCCTTCCCCAGAAATGCTAGAATGTCCCCAGTCCAAAGAGATTATCAACTTAACTTTGCTGCTTCAAGGAATTTAATTTCCATAATTAAACGATGTTAGCGCCACCACCACATTTCCCTGCTGGTGCCAAGAGAACGATTTCACCGCTAATTTACCATTTGCTGCTTAGGGGTGCCCTCACAGATGAGAATCTAGAAGGGGCCCCCTTTTCCTTTCCAATCAAGCAAAAACTGCCTGTTGAGCTCAGTGGTAATAGCTTATTTGTGTAGGTCCTCGTAACAGGTCTCAAAGGTCATGGTGATGACCTCTGCAAAATGCAGGTAAACTAGCCAAGACCTTGCCAGACACAAAGACTGTTTCCTGCATACAATTTCTGTGACTTCTCTAGCCTTGATTCTTTTCATCTGACCTCATCACGAACAGCTTGGTCTGAAAAACAGGCTCTGATATATTCAGATTTTTTTCGGCGTGTTTGCCTTTAGGGGTTTGATACGAGAAGTGTCAAGAGATGTGTGTAAAATATCTTTGATGTAAATATCATTCTAAAAGCAGGTCCCTGCAAAGCCCTAGCTAAATAACAGCAGGATTTGCTATTTACCGCACCTTATGTATGCTACACTACATTCTTTAATAAGCTATCACAAGGTCTGTTATCTTTCATGCTACATAAAGCTTTTTTCTCTCCTTGGCAGAGAACAGCAGGAGATCTGATGATCAGGAATATTCAGCTTTACCATGCCGGCAAATATATCTGTGTGGTGGACACAGATGTGGAGAGCCTGTCAGCCGTGGCTGTATTGATTGTGAAAGGTAGAAAAACCTCCTTCCTACTCCGCAGTCACTAATTAAAACAGGGCTCACAGTCAGGATTGTATGTGTTATTTCTTTTTGGGTTTCTCTTTTTAAAAAGAAAAAAATTTGAAAATCCAGACCTAACTGTAAAGTGGGTATTAGGTGTAGCCACAAAACAGCTCCATTAAAAGATGTCTGCAGCCTATAAGAATTCCCAAACAGAGCTGTATCTGAAGACATGATATGCTTAACTGAGAATATAGTGAATGCTGACTTTTGGGGCATATAATGTTCAGGCTTTTAAACTCGAATTGGTTTTGTTTCAGGCGGTGATTGCGGTGCAGTCAAAATACCCATATCCTCATGAAAATCATTCAGGATATCATCAGACTTCACAATTTTTATGTCTTGTTTGTTTTGTAGTAGCGGTTGCTTGATTACATCCAATAAAGGAAGCTTGCTTTCTGTTTATATTGCATCATGGGATTCTTGTGGAAGTAAAGAACTTGACAAGACTATGAAATTATAGGAATATCAGCTATGAATTTTTTTTAGAATGTGATGTTTTTTCTCTCTCCTCTTAATGTCCAATTTTCAATGTTGTTGCAATGTACTGGACAGCGGAATGTTTAGATGCCCATCTGTGCTCATTCATGCAGAGTGTATATCTCCTGAGAGGCACAGTTGTTGAGAGCTGCATCGGGCAGAACAAAATAGAACAACTTTTGTTTTATATTTCAGAGTGTGGCGGGGTTGTATTGCAGGCAGAGTGAAAGGAGGGATGTTTCTGGCTTTCGTCAATACGCCAAATAGCCCAGCAAATTGACTCTACACAAATATGTTAAATGTCAGATGAGGTGAGGGATGATTGGTGTCAAGATTTGAAAAGGTTGGATCCATATCTTTATCTTGTAAGGATACCCACCAGTGATTCAGACTGGCATGTTGAAGATCTTCTAGTTAAATGCCATTAATAAGCACTCCTTTCCAAATAGCTGAGGTCTAAGTGCAAATAAGGCTGTTTCTAAGTATAAGCAATGTCAAGGCCATGGAACTGGATTGCCCTAGTATTGACTGGAGAGAAACGTGTCTGTGACTGTTTGTGCATTATTTACACTTCATGCTCATGGCAGCTGTCATGAATGTATCATAGCTTGGATCAATTGCCTTCAAATTCTGGGCAGCAAAGCTTGAAGCTGGAGAGAAAACCAGTCATGGAGGGCGAAGAAGGGCTTTGCTTAATCATAACTGCAGATGTCTAACCAGCTGACAGTGGTCACATGTTGATTAGAATATTGTTTTCCAGTCCAGCAACACTTTCAAACAAATATGCCACTATAAAAATACTCCATTACAGGTTGAAGCCCTGAATACAATGTCCTACCTAAGTAAAAGTACAGACATATTATCAGGAAAATGTACTTAAAGAATCTAAAGTAAAAGTATTTGTTGCACCTGAGATAGATATATAATTGTATGTGACATTATTAGACTGGTAATACTGATGTGTACTGTAAGTATCATTTACACTTGTGGCTGGATGAGGTGTAGCTAGTTTTAATGACCAATAACTGTTAATTAATTTTTTCCTGTGGTTCCCTTGAGATCAGGCCCTTCAAAAGAGTCACAAGATAAAACTGCTGAACAAATTTACATTTTTCAAATTTAATCTTCCCTAATAAATCATGGTATAATAAAATGTTGGCTAATTTGACCTCTATGGGCCTCAAACTATTTATATATATGATATGAAAACATCTGAGAAATTTGGTTTTCCATCTTTGCTGACAATGTGACAAGCAGTGTCAACTGTTTTTGTAAGGGGTCCCAAACCAAACATTCTGCGAATTACTGGCTTATTCTTCACCTGTGTAATGTATTTTATAAGCTACTATACTGTAGGTTATATTTTATAGTTTAATCTGTGAAGTAACTACAGTATCCTGTAGCTGTCAGAGAGAAACTGTGGAGTAAACAGTATATTATTTGACTCTTAAATGAAGTAGAATAGATGTACAAAATTAAATAATAAAATAAAATTTTAAAAAACTAGATGAATTGGGTGATTAGTTACTATCAGTAACACATCTTATCAGAAAAAAGTGAGCCTTCTCTGTCTGTCAGACAGAAAGAGATATTGCTATTGAATTTTCAAAAATGTCTTTTTTAAAAGATGGTAGCACCAAAAACAGAATTTCCATTCGTAGCTCAAAGTAGACAGATAAAACAATAACTGTCTGCATGCCTGCATTATACTGTGAGGGATAGGTGAGAAAGAGAGGAAGAATCTCGCTTCCCTCATTGGCTGCATGTATGTATGATAAAAAAAAGAAGCTATTTTAATAGTAAGACAACAATGTGAGTCATGCAGGACTCATTTAACAGATATAATAATTATGCCGCTACGATTGCGCTTTGGAAACATACAGTTCCTGCTTGCAGTAATAGCAACTACTTGTGTTACTGGCAATAGACACATTATTGCAATCATGTAATATTAGCCCATGATAGTCACTCAGTAACTGACAGTGTGCCGTTCCTGACCCTGTTTCGCTCCGCTCTTCACAGCGCTGAAGGTCAATGATAATCGTTCCTGCCACAAAAACTCTTTGAGTGATCATTTGGGTTCTTGTTTTTTAAAATGGCAGTGGACAAGGTTTTAGATGCCACTCCATGATGTCCAACAAACACTCCACTGGGTGGTGGTGGTGGTTATGGAGAAGGTCATGTTATACGGACATCATCACGGTCATTAGCGTTCAAACCACTTGGTGAACACTCATGCTGTGTTTGACAGCTGTATTATCATCATCATCCTGGATGACAATATGTGGGGAAGTACACCTCATCAGTCAATATAGCACTGCACAACTATGTGTTTTATTATTGCCACTTTGTCACTTTTACAACATGCTATTATTTAGACTCACTTCTGATATGTGTGACAGCGTATCTTACAAATTGCACATAATATTCGGTTCAGATGAAAATGACATTACCATGTCTGTGAGTATTCATAATACTGCTGGATTTTAATTTGCCTTCTGATTTGTCTTGTACAATAAAAAACCCAGGGCAGCCTGTCCGTTTTAATAACAGATTATTTGAACACCCTCAAGACACTCTCAGCACCCTCTCGCCTCAGCCAATGAAATATAATTAAGAGGTTAAGGAATTGATCCTTGATTGTGTGGTCCATTAATATGTATTAATGAGGCCAGTGAATTAAAGTTTTTTTTAATCAAGAGCTGCTAATGAGTTTCACCGAGATCAATATCTCTAAGCCAGGGATTTTAATGCCAAATGTATGTCGCCAGCACATTCACAGCTTCTAGTTCAGCAGTTACTTGTTGAGCTGAATGTTCGTCCAGACATTCACATACATACTGCATGAATCATGCTTACAAATTGATTGTTTATTAGGATTATAATTTAACACTTTAATAATCACAATATTTTGCATCAGATTAGAAACCGCTTCAGAGCTGCTGCGGAGCATGAGCAGGGGCATTATTATTCTGCGGCCAGTCTCACAGCTCTCGCTCTCTGGTGGTCTATTATGTCTGATGAGCCGACGCATTCGATAGAACAGGACACAGTAGGTGAGGATAAAGTAAAACATTACACTGCTTAGTTGGTGGGATAATGAAAAAAATTATAAAATAGGTTCTTCTGGGCTTTGAGGTTCGTTTTCATCTTGTACTTTTTAATTTGACTTCCTGCTTCTACTCATGTTTGCTGTATCACTCCCAGGAGAACCATAAAAGAAATGGAGTAAAAGTTGTTTTGCTAATGTAGATTTTCAAATCTAAAGACTTTCAACTAAGCATAGCAATCTCTAGCAGATAGATGTACTGTTTTTCTTCCCGTATGTTCACACGCTCATACAGTATATTCACATTCTGTAATCTTGTCTGTACTTCTGCTTGTGCAAGTACCTCACAGTATTTGTTCCTGTAACTGAGTCAGGCCCCCCCAGCCCACCAGACATGGTGACAGTGGAGGAGGTGACAGACAGCACAGCCCAGCTGGCCTGGAACCCCGGCAGAGACAACGGCAGCCCCATCACCAATTACCTCATCCAGACCAGAACTCCCTTTACTGTGGGGTGGCAGAGGGTGAACACGGGTAGGCAGCACTTAAAGATGAATTTTTATCTTATAGCACGTGATGTTGTTCAGATAATTCATGGATCCCCACAGGGAAATTCTCTTATTACTCATCCCCTCTTTAGCGAGGAGGTCAGTGTAGGGTCAGCTACAAGGCTCTGGACATGGGATGGATACAGGGTCAAACTCAAGACAACTAGAGGTCAATGTTGCTGCTTTTACATGATCCCATTTAAACCACTTTAGCTACTTCTACACCCAGGTCTGTCAAAGCCAAAATGCTTAAGACAAGACTGTTTGGATGACATCTGGTGCCTGTTCTTATGACTGTTGAATACAATTCTTTGAATAAACAAATCTGCAAATTAATGTAATGTAATAGATTTTTTTTTTTATTAATGTACTTGAGAGGGGCACTGTGCAGCTGAAAAAACCCCTAGCAACATTTATGTTTTCTCTCTCCTAATGTTAAAAGGGCACCCAGGAAAATTTTATAAGATAAGTCCTACAAAATTCATGTTCACAGAAAGCACATATTAACATAGTACTTAAACCAGGAAAATGATATTGTCACAATATAACACATGGTAGATAGTTACAATCCATATTAAACAAGAAAGAAGGAGAAAAAAGTCACATTACAGCTGCTATAATCAATATACAATACAGTATTTGTATTAATACAGGAGAGAAGGTGTAATGGGAAAGGGGTCATTTGTAATGATGAACCCACAGATGATTATCGTCCAACTCCGTAGTTCTCATCATTTCTATGCTTATGTATATACTATGTGTGTTTTTTCCAGTCCCTGAGATCATTGACGGGAGCAAACTGACAGCCACTGTGGTGGACCTCAATGCCTGGGTGGAATATGAGTTTCGGGTTTTGGCCAAAAACAGCGTCGGTGTCGGAGAACCCAGCCCTGTGTCCGTTAAGACCAGGACAGAGGATGCAGGTACAGTAAATGCCATTCATCTTTTCACCCCAGATCCTTCATCCTGATCAGACAGAGAATACCAATATCTCAAACACCAATCTGCAAAAAAACACAGCAGCTTTAAGACTGTACTACTATTTGTTTATTTTATAAAGCCCTAAGTGTTTCTTATGGAGGTGTGAACAAGGTCTATGTTGTATAGTTCCTGATGCAGCGCCAGGTGACGTGGGTGGAGGAGGCGGCAGCAGATCTGAACTGGTCATCACATGGGAGGTAAGTCATCAGTGTTATGTTCCAGTCCATTTGCTTGCAGTTAGTCTTTTATTAATTCTTGAGTGAGGTGCTTAATATTTCTCGCTAAATCAAAACTCTTGCTCTGTTTGGCCTGTGGGGGTCATAAATTTTGGGTCCATTGAAGTCTGGCACTGTAGTTGTTGTAATTTCTTATTTAAAGAGTTTTATATGTAAGGCAGCAGCAATGTATACACAAGCAGAACACTGAATCTGACTTTTATTGTCATTAATGGTGCTTGGATCTGTGGTGAATGACTGTTGTTCAGCCAGATCTCTAGTGCTCAAATCTTGCTTCTCATCCTGTCAGGGAGTGGAAAAATAATGCAGATATTGAAGAAGTCATTAGGTGGCTAAAGCTGCAGTATCTCATTATTTGAATGTTTGCGTTTCATTAAATGCAGAAATATCTTTTCACATTAAAAGCTTCACGGATATTCAGTAATGAGCTCAGATTTTTTTTAATGACATTTTACCGCTCATTTCATTTCATCAGGTGGGTCACAAAAGCAATTTTTAGGTCATGCACTTCTTTTGGCACCACAAAGGCAGGTGGTGATTGTGTCAGCCCAGCAACGGGGTGAACATGAGTGGTTTGTATATGTTTTAATATCACTATAGTTTTGTGTTTCACTCTCAGCCTGTTCCCGAAGAACTGCAGAATGGTGAGAGCTTTGGTTACATCATTGCTTTCCGCGCCTTCGGAGAAGTTAGCTGGACTCATGTGGCCACGTCCGCCCCCGGCGCATCGCGTTATGTGTACCGCAACGACAGCATTGCACCCTTCTCTCCATTTCATGTCAAGGTTGGCACTTACAACAGCAAAGGACAGGGTCCCTTCAGCCCCGTAGTCACTATCTACTCTGCAGAGATAGGTAAGCTAATGAATGTGAGTGGGATTTTTAGAGCTACAAAGCTTTTTCTGGTTTTTAAAAGGACAAAGATCACAAAAGTGGTTTTGCTGCATATACTGGGATGAAAGCGCTCAGTAAACAAAGAGATATGCAGGAAAATAAACCTGCAGAAATCTTTTTACATGTAGAAAACCAAGAAAAAAGGAATATATTGATGTAAGAATAGGCACATTGCCTCTCTATATCACACTTGGTAGACCAGCTATTCCTGAGTGAAAACCAGTTGGCATTTACATAGATCTATGCTACCTCTCATCATGCTGAGAGGGGGTCAATCTGTAGTGTAGTGTTTGGTCTGTTTACCAGCGGCACCTGTGTGTGATGATTCATCCAAGTAGAGATCAACAAGAATGCCGCACAGCCATAAATGTAAAACCTCAGAGAGATTTGTTGTGCTTGTCTCCGTGCTGCTGGACGAAGGCAGCGGCGCTCAGTCTCCTGTTGTCTGATTTCAGAGCCAAGTGGGATGCCAGTGGGAGTTTGGGCCAGAAGTGTCTCAGCCTCTGAGATTGAGGTGAATTGGCAGGCTCTCTCATTCGCCCCTGAAAGAGTTCTGGGCTATGAGGTACATTTTACTCTTTTAAATTGAAATAGAAATCACACACAACACAATTCAAATGCTTGTCATCACCCTTGTTGTACCTCAAAGCCATCACTTCCAAACTCGGCGTCGCCATGGAAATGGCTGTCAGCTGGGCAACTGTTACAGCCAAAATTATACAGTTCTTTGTACCGCCACTACAGAAACATGTCAGAGGGTTTTCAAGAGAACTAAAGAAAACTGCTTGTCCGCATGTCTTTTCATGTTGCTGCCAGTTATGAAATATCATCATATAGAGCTTCATGATCGTCTGTGCTATGATATTATACCACATATCAGAGTAGCAAGAAGTGTTATTGATAACACAGCAGCAACACCGATCTTTAATCTTGTCATTGTTCTTCAAATAAAATAGGATATTAAGCTATTACATTTCAAGCCCAAAATGGTTGGTTGCTTTTTTTTCACCTTCAAAAACTGGAACAGCCTGATTGCTTCATCTGCATACTTCTGACTGAATAATCAGGACGATCAAAGGGTTTAACATTCTGTTATTCTTTTGCTCACTAAAATGAAATATGTTTCAGTATTTCCATCTAGGAAAGTTTGTGCACTATTACATATCTGAGTTGCCTAAGCAAGCACTGAATAGTGATGACAGAAAAGTAGATAGGTAGGGAATGAATGTTGGTTTGAGATCATTTCAGGGAAATGGTTAAGAGTGAAAGCAGTGACTTATTTTGGATTGGTAACTTTAGCTGTAACTATTTGGTAATATTATTATTTAAATGCATGATTTAATCAGTCATATTTTCAGTGAGGCGGCTGTGGCTCAGGATGTAGAGCAAGTTGGCGTTTTGATTCCCAGCTTCTCCGGTCCACATGTCAAAGTGTCCTTGAGCAAGACACTGAACCCCAAGTCGTTCCTGTTGGCTGTGCGAGCATGTGCGAGTGCTAGGGAGTGTGAGTGCGTCACTGGGCAAATAGTGTGAAAGCGCTGTGAGTGCATTGCATAGAAAAGTGCTGGACAATTATACACCGATCAGCCAAAACATTATGGCCACCTGCCTATTATTGTGTACACAGAAGTCAACGCAGTGGGCGATTGACACTCGTGTCACTCTGCAGCTCACTGTGCATCTTGTGTGAATCCGTTTGCTTCCATAGTTCTACTGTCAGGAAGAGTAGGAATGTGTCGACCATTCACTGAAAACCGTCATTGTGAGGACAAGTTAGACAAAAGCTTTTAGACCAGTTCAACAGCCTCCCCACTCTATAGCTTCTGAATGTTTCTCTTCATAGAGACCAATCTACATAATTTCTCATTTTCATCCATTTTAACAAAGATTCAGACAAAATGGAATTCTTTGAAAAGGATGTATGAAATTTGAAAGTTTAATCTACAGTAGGTTAACCTCATCATCAGTGAGCCTTGGGCGTCCATGACCTTATCACCAGTTCACTGTCTGTCCTTCCTTAGACCACTGTTGGTAGGTACTACAGACTGGGAACACCCAACCAGACGTGCAGTGCGGGAGATGTTTCGACCCAGTCGTCAGCCATCACAGCTTGGCCCATGTCAAAGTCACTCAGATCCTTACGCTTGCCAGATTTTCCTGCTTCCAACACATCAACCTCGAGGACTGAATGTTCACTTGCTGTCTAATAAACCCCACACACTGACAGGTGCCACTGTAATGAGATAATCAGCGTGATTCACCTCACTTGTCAGTGGTCATAGTGTTATGGCTGATCAGTGTAAGTCCATTTTACCATTAGAAGAAAAATAGATACTACGTTATGTTACACAACATGGATATATTACAGTGCTGAAACTAGTCAAATTAGTTAAAGTAGTAAAAGCAATAAAAATAATTTTGACTTAATTTTAATAACTGATCAATTGTTTCAGTGTCAAGCAAAAGTGCAAAGCTATTCCTAGCTTTTGTTTGATATCATTGCAAGTTAAATAGATTTTGACTGTTGTTTGATCAATTAAGAATTTTCAAGAAATCACCTTTGGATTTTTTAAAATTATTATGGGTATTTTTCCAATATCTCTTAATGATTAAATGATAATTGACTAATCAAAATTAAGTAAATTAATCAATAGTGAAATTAATCCCGTTCATGCCCACTCTTTCAGTGGTATCTGAAAAATAGCGAGACATTTGTAGGAGATATGAAACTACATTTACAGAGTGTTTATAATGTCAGATCAAATATCCTGCTGGAAAGTTAAAAGAAAACTCTGATCTCTCTTGAGAGGATGCACCCAGAGGCGAACATTTAATAACACCACATTATTCTCAAGGCATCAAAAACAACTACAAATACTTTGATGTGCTGCATGTGATGCACGCTGCCAGCGTGCTCCAATTCAAAGCAATATATCACAGTTCATTCCCAGATGACATGTATTCTTTCTCAAGGTGGTTTACTGGGAAGATGACACTAAACCAGAGACCATGGGGAAAGTCCGGGTGCCTTGGAACCAAACCTCAGTCACAGTGAGCGGCTTGGCAGGAAACACACAGTATTTTCTAACAGTCAGCGCCTTCAACACAGCGGGCACCGGCCCCTTCCTCCCTGCAATCAATGTCACCACAAAAAAGCCACGTAAGTTGCAGCACCAAGACTGCTGCTCAGGGGTTCGATTCTCTATCAATGCTTATTAGAATTCAGAGGTGGAAATTATGAGTGGTTTGAGTGGAGTCTATTCTTAGGTGTGCCAACAATGAAGGAGAAAGTTATTATGTGTTGAAGAATGTCTGCATCCTCATCTTATTTTTGTGTATCAACTTCTAATCTCATTCTCAAAAGTAGTATTCCATCTAAGAAATGTGATCATTCTGGTATGAGCATGTGACAGCAATGTTTCTGTGCTGAGATACAGAAATTATTTTTGAACCCTGCAGCTCCAGCCCAGCCTCCACTGAATATTGAATGGACCTTAATTGGCTCTCAGCTGTCTCTTTACTGGGAACCTGTGTTGGCGATGGAATCCGAGTCAGAGGTTACAGGCTACCAAGTGAGTCTGACTTTCTCAGTATGCTTTACAGTAACATGTTTATTCCTGTTATGTTTCCAACCAAGTGAAAGCATGGAATTAACTGTGTGGTGGCTCGCTCTAAGCTGTCAAGCTGTGAGAATACGCATTTACTGTGTGTCACCCACAGTTTTTCTCCCCCCCTCTCAGCTGTCTTACAGGACACAGAGACACAAAGAAGTAAACACACTCACAACCAGCAATGCAACAGCAGAGATGACCCTGGCCGAGGACGATGATGACTACATCATTCACATTCAGACGCTGAGCGAAGGAGGGCTGGGCCCGGCTTCAGATCCAATACGAATCCACCAGCTAAGTAAGCTCAGCATTCATAGTTCAAGTCATAGTGGGTCATATGGTTAAAATCGCAAGTCTTCAATTCTGGCTATTATTAAAGGCAAAAACCCTCATTTTAAGGTTTTCTGTCTTCAGTCGCAGCACTGAAAGATACTGATGCCACTAAGTTCTAGATCAATACAGAAGCATGGCAAGTTTTGACTCATAGACTGAGACCTTGATCTCTCAGAACTTCTACTTTTTCATTATTTACCCACTTTTGCAAATGAAGTCACTTAACACTTTTTCCACCTGACAGGGACATTCTGTCCTTCGTTGACTGACCATTACTCATGTCCCCTGCTCTTCCAGACTGCTGAAATATGCAGCACTATCCATCTCTGTCGCAGGTTGACTTCTTCTTTTACTAGGTGCTGTTATTGTGCTGTGGCGCTCCAGGGGGGCTCCTCTGCTCTAAATGCTAATTTGCATTGTTGATATTCTGTGGTGAATCCCTGAAACCAGCAGTTGAGTCAGATAAAATTCTATCCTGGCTTTTCTTTTAAAATTCATTTGAAAAATAGGCATTAGCGAGCAAAAGTAAGTGCTGTGTTCATAGAAACTAGCAGGCCTGAAACATCACAAGTGGTTCAGGAGGTTTCTGTTGTATCAATAATATATATTTTTTATTCATTTATATGGACTTTGTGTCATTACAGAAATACAGTCAGAACTAATTGACTCACTTAAATCAAACAAGAGAGACTAGTGATGGGCGCACACTGCATCAGGCTCCTGGTCCCTTTATACTCAGCTCAGTGTTTGTTTTGTACTTCACAGTCATAAGCCAAGGCATAAATAATTTCATCACATTTTATGTATGCGAAACATCAGTATGCATGTTTTATGTTTTGGAAAGTATCTCATTTTGACTTATGAATGTTTTTGACAAATCTATTTTCAGTTTTATCTGCAGGTTACATAGCAGAGGGCTAAAACACAAGATAAGAAATGAGTATTTTAGACAAATGTCCCAAAGCATCTGTGCTGCAGTCAACTGTGTCCGCTCCCTCCAGACGGCTTTAACATCACTTTATTGTGTTTTTCTGTGTGTGTGCGATCCAGGTATGAGTGCCCGCGGCTCGAGAGCCCGGAGCGTGGACATCATCCCTCTCTCCCTGCTCCTTGCCATCGCAATATCAACATTCAGGTCAACGTTGTGACACAGTGACAGACTCTGATCTGTTTTGCAACATTCAATAATGTTTTTTTTTCTTTAATTCTTTAATTTCTTAAATTTCTCTTCTTTTAGAGATGCCCATAGTATTTTGCGGTGTTAGTTTGTTGGTATGAAGCAGCACAGGAACGTGCTATCAGACTCTTAATTAAAAGTAAATGCTAGAGCTTTCTACATAGGTCTGCTTTGAAACTTTGGGAACACTGCTCCATTTCAACTCTATTTTTTGTTCTCTAGAATGATACAGATGCCTTACTTCCATTCATGTGCCAAAGTAGTTTCAGCCTTCTTGTTGTTATTGCTATGATAGCTACATGCTTTCCTCAACATTTTATTCCCCACAGTTTCTTATTATTGAAGGTTTTGGTGTACCTTGCGGAGGGCCATGGTGACAAGTTGTATTTCATATTTTTGAATATTTTCAGTTTTCCTCTCTACATCAGAATTGGCGAGTACAAACATGTACATTCATCCGTGCCCGTGCCTTTTTGAGACTCTTGTAATGGCGTTACTTATAGACACCAGTCAGTGATACGTTGTGTTTGAAAACATACTGCAGGCATCTTCATCTTTACATGCGCCATTAAAAGTTGGTTGTGTCTCAGATGAAACTCATAAAACAACCCACAGTGCCAGTGTTAGCCATTTACCTTTTATCATTTGATTGTGGAGAGCTGAATGTATTGTGAGTGCTCCTACAAGTTTTAAAGCCTTGGATTAGTTACTGTGATAGGCCACTGATTGATGGATTGGCCTTTACTCTGCATTTGCAAAGATTACATTTGCCTGTGCACAGCAGTAGTTGGAGAGGAATACAACAGCCAGTGTATTTCCTTCAACCTCGATGCTGAACCAGTCAGAAAATAATCGACAACAATCATTTAAGTCATTCATCCAGGAACAATGCCAAACATTTACTGGTTCCAACTTCGTAAATGTGAGCATTTACTACTTTTCTCTGTTGTAAATGTAACATATACTATCCAACGATCCATTTGCCTTCACAGAATCTAAATTTGAAAGTATTTTGCTTTATACCATGGCCACTTGTCAACAGACTATATGTCATCTAAATAAAAAATTATTAAAGTTCATAGAATGAAGTGAAACAAAATTTTCTTCCTATAAGAGAGTTCAAATCCTTACTAATTCTAATTCATTTAGATTTAGACAAGAAGATCAGTACTACTCTGTTAACTATGAAGGCAGAGTCAGGTGTTGATTAGCCTAGCTTAGTATAAAGAATGGAAACAGCCAACCTGGCTTTGTCCAACGTTCACGAATCCTTACCAGCACCTGTGAAGCTCACTAATTAACACATTGTATCTAGCAGAAGCCCTACACATTTCCGACAGGGCTGTTTATGACAATTTCTGGAATTGTCCTAAAACAACAATCCAACATTTACACCACTTCATGCTGTGACTGGGCAGGCGTGCGGAGGTGAGTGCGTTTACAGCCAAGTGAAACTATGAATGCCTTCCAGGAGAGACTGTCTGAAAATATGTGTTGTTACATCCATATTTTAATGATTATCACATCTCGCACCTTGATATAACGGTGGCTTTTCACTTTCATCTCTTGGTTAGGTTGTTTGAAACAGCTATAAACACTTGCCTTTCGAAGTGGTCAGTCACATCTCACAAACTACAAACTATTTTATGTCTAGGATAACTTGGCCCGGAGGTTCCATAGTTAATGCACAGACATGAGAGTGGTATTGATTTTTTCATCTGACTTTCACAAAGAAAGCTACTAAACATATTTCTTAGTATGTCGAGCTGTCACTTTAATGAGTAGTTTCTCTGATTACATTCAGTTTATGAACGGACTTTGAATTAAGATTATTTGACCAACCAGTTAGACTTCTCTGAGGACAATAAACAATCACCTCTGTCAGAAGTGTCAAGTTGTTTTGTCTGGTTACCAAGAGTAAACAGACATCAGCCAGCCAATCAAAATTCAGAGTTATCAGTGGTCATGGTATAGAGTAATATGGCAAATTATCTTTTTGGATTTAGGATTTATTGAATCAAAACAAACAAATTGAAAACATCAGTTGGGTTCTGGGAAATACAGATGGTGAGAAATGAAAGGAAAAACCATCAGAAAATGTCTCAGTAAGATGTTGGGCCACAATGTGCTGCCAGAGCAGCTTCAGTACACCTTGGTATTGACTTTACAAGTCTCTGAACTCTACTGGATGGATGAACACCATTCTTCCAAAAGATATTCCCTCATTTGGTGTTTTGATGATGGTGGTGGAGACGCTGTCTAACACATTGGTCCAAAATCTGCCATAGGTGTTCAACTCATTGCCTGTATATAATAGCTGGACAAATCCACCATGACGTCACCCATGGTTTTCTATGAAACAGTTTTGAAGATCAAGTCTGGCCATCGCCATATTGGTTGCGCTTCACTCCACGTGCTAGGTCTAATTCAAAAATGCGTAAAAAGGAGGCGCATGAGTAGAGCTTGTTAGACAGCTGGCAGCCAGCAAACTATGGCGGGACCCTCCCATCAGTCACTCAAGGTGTAATTATGTGTAACTTTTTGTCTCAATATAATTTAAACAGGCAAGTTATTAAAAAGATTCACACACACACACACACCCATACAGTTGATGGAAGGCGAAATTAGCTATAAAGACCAAAACCATTTTTTGTACCAGGCTGTAAACATTATCTGCACAATTTAACATGGAAGTCTTTGTGGATTGGTTCTCAAGTGGCTGTTTGAAGAACTACAGGTTTTGTCACTTCCACAATGGCTTCATTTCTCAGCCTCAGAGGTTGCCGCTGGCTTCAACTGGGTTGAGATCTGGTGACCTTGAAAGCCATAGCATATAATTCACATCACCTTCATACTCATCAAACCATTCAGTGACCCCTCGGGCCCTGTGGATGGGCGCACTGTCATCCTGTTTTTTCTTTAATTTGTCACCCCATGTACATTTTAGAGGCTGAACAATTAATAGAAAATACAATTGAGTAGTGAAAATAATCATTATTTGCAGTCATATTCTGCACCCATCTGTGCAACACACAGCTAGTGCCAGTCAACGTGCATTATCAGCCATTGCAGTTGAGACAAGAAGTTTAAAGTGCTGCCAACTGTGCCAGTCTAATAACTGAAATCTAGCCACCAGCTTAGACATTATTTGGCAAAATGTATAGTCAGCTGTGTTTTAATGTTTGTGATTCCGTTCTTTGTTGTCAGTTGTATCGGCTTTTTTATGTGGTATATGTTCTCATTGTTTACTTGAATGTTTGAGTGTAACCCTGATTCTCAGGTATGGAGACCTGCTTCACCCTACACCTTTCAATTGCTCTGAAATGGCAGGAACCGATAGATCAGAAATCTGTCAGCACATGACACAAAGGTCAATTTAACAGACTGACTTGACGAATGGAAAGTCTGATATGTGCCGTGATTTAGCAGACATTTAAAACATCTTGATGAATTAGAGCAAGCTTGGGGGGCTTCTGTGGGAAAGAGCACAGGAGTAATGATACTAATGACACCCACACAAGACGAATATATCAGGATTTAGGGGGAGCTAAATCAGGACAATCCCATCAAGATGACATCAAGAAGAAGGGTGTGTGTGTGTGTGTGTGTGTGTGTGTGTGTGTGCGTGTGTGTGTGTGTGTGCGTGCGTGCGTGCATGGCTGTTACCTTACCCAGCGGTGTCATGGACAAGTGTTTTCAAGATGACCATTCAGCTGCTTAAAAAATAGTTGAAAGTCAGTTTTTGTACTTAACCATGGTTCAGGGCTTTGAGCAACTGAAGCATTGCAGATATTCAAATAGAGTAATTCAAGGTCAGTACAGGAGAGAGAAAAAATAAATTTAAGCCAGAAAGCTGTCGAAATGTCTGTTTTTTTTCTATCAAATTACCATTGATTTCCAGTGCAGTGGCACAAGTGGAATAAAGCTCCAGAATCCAAGGCTAGATCAGATCCAGGCTAAAACCTGTATTAAATGTGACAACAAAAGATTTTCTTCCCTGATGAGTGTTAATAACTTCCTGAAAGCAGTCTTTGAATCCTGTTATGTTGTTTTAGTGGCTTTACGTGTTGTCAGTCTGTATACATTCTTTATCACAGAATGGCATTTTTAAGCTAACAGATGTTTACATGGAAACTGCATCTTCTTGGCTGATTTACTGATTATATGAACTGAAAAAAGACATTACACCATTTATGAAGTTGTGTCTTGGGTATAGAAGCATTGCCAACCCCTTTGTTTTGTAATGTATCAGTACTGTGGAGATGTTTTAATTCTGACTTTGATTTTCTCAATTTTCTTTAATGTTTGCTATGGTTCCTGATGGATATTTTCATTTTTCTTTTCTTCCAAAATTCTGCACAAAGGTCAAGTGTTGCTTTAAAATAACCATTTAGAGCCAATGCCGGCTAATTCAAAAGCCAGTGTTTTGAGATCTCTTTTGCCTTTATACAGTATATTGTATGTACTGTATGTATTTTGTTGTTATTTGAAGCAACACCCCCAGCTGGAAAACCAAATTGTTGCGTCCTACTTCCAATTGTAATTCTCAGTCAAACCCGGAATATGAAAAATACATGAGCGGAGTGTAACAGCTGCTATCACACATCAGCCTTTTGGTGCAGTGACACAAACACTACCTGTTACAAGGTAGTAGTCGGCTAGTGCACAGTAGGTAATACAAGTAATTCTACTAGTTCTTTTTGTCTTTTTATACCAATACAACTTTCTTGCTACTTTCAAAATCAGAAAAGACTGAGCTGGTCAGAAAATAATTAAAAAAAATAGTTACCCAAAATTTGTAATTCCATAAATACATAAAGACTTAAGAAAATGCCAGTAGAGCTCTGGGTGACAACGCTTGGCCTTTCTGTTGTGACTCCTCAGTATTTTGATGTCCAGATGATCTCTGTGAGATCGTGGCCGAAACGTTTTCACATTGAAAAGTCATCAGCTGATCTTGATATGCTGAAGCTGTGCATGTATGATATTGTTTGGTGCATTTGTGTTTTCTAAATGAGGGAGTTAATAAAACCAATTCACTAAGGATTCTGTCTGATTTTCTTTATTTTTTTTAAGTATATGGGGCATAGTGTCATTTTCAGCATCAGCAGTTTTAGTGTCGTCTACTGTAAGGAGCATTTGAGTGTTACCTTGAGGCACCAGCAAAGCTATAAAATGTATATTATTTTTTTTAAAAGCATGTAAATGGGAGTAAATGGCAGCAGTAAAGTTCTGTTTAGTGGACAGAGAACACATTCACAAAGGATTTTGCTGCATGTACTAATTGTTTTATTATATAATAATGGTTATCATCACTGAGAATTGAATATTTTGAATATTGACATCACATGCAACATCTAAAAAACAATTACCAAGCAACATGTATCAAGTGGTGGGCTGTGTAATGTGGTTTTTGCAACAAATACAGATTCATTAGAGTGTGATATTCTGATATTTTCCGCTAAAACAAGGGAATGACATGGAAAGCTACTGTGAAATATTGACTGAGTCAGTGATGCAGAGATGCTTTTAAGATAATAAGAGGGAGAGGACCCTGTGAGGAGATCGATAGGAAAGGAAGTGAAGAAAAGAGAGGTTTCTCCCTACACACCACAGATCATCCATAATGAGTTAGCGTGTCAATACTTTGGCAATGGTTCTCCACATGCTATTGACCACTGAATCACAACAGTAGGCCACTGTAACTTTTTATGTATATGCCCAGTATCATTTCTGTTGAACAAATGACAATGCTATGGATTCAAATATTATATTTAGATAGTTCTTGAGAAATTGATTAAGACGACGTTGCTATGTATTACTTCTCTCTATGTCGACCCCAGCACGGTGCAGATGTTGTAGATTAGTTGGTGCAAATTACAAATGTTAATACTGCCCCCTCACGGTACCAGTATCATAGTGCAACACTTTGGTCAGGATGGATGGGTGGGCAATATATGGGTGAAAAGACTCTGCAGTGTCACTGCGTTGAACGGGTACAATGACGATCAGCGCCTTGTAGTGGAAACACTGACAAGTTTCAAGTCGTCTTGATTTGGCTCGCAAGTGATAGTAATGTTAGGTATTTTTAGTCAGATAGATATTGGTTAGATACTTTATGTATTAGAAATGTTTAGTGGAGATAGGATGTCTAGTTAGACTGTTAAATGCTTAGTCATGCTTATGAGTTTCTACAGGGTACATCTGGTCAAGGATAACTAGAGAGAAGAGTTGATGACTGTCAGCAGACAGGGTGTTTAATATTATTATTATGACGTGTAGAACTGTAGCCTTAGCCATAATATGTTCTTATGTTTAAGACACGACATGTTCTAGAGGTTGTGAGAATGTTTTTAGTTACACACCACTTAATCAACAGACACACACACACATTGATTTGCTTCATGTTTTGACTACTGCTATGACCAGCTGCAAAGCTGGTAACAGAGACGTCTCGGAGGTGCAAGATGCCTGAGCGTGTAATGTTAATTTTTGCCTGTGTTCATAGAATAAATCAGCACTGTTTTGTAGTTACTTGGACTGCCTCGTCTCTCAGAGTCAGTATGGTAAAAAAGTACCGGGTACAACAGTAAACAACAAAGCATTAAAACAAAGAAACCCTAAAATGTCGACCACATGTAAGATAATCGTTACAAATTTCAGGAGTACGTTAGGTTGTGCATTTTTAAAATGTTCATACTGTGATGTGGCAATTTTGCAATAAGAACTGAGGAAAATGTAGACAACATACGCGTCCGATTGCGGCCATTCTACTCCATATCGTTAGGTGGCGCTGTCTTTCTCTCAGCAGCTCTGAGGAAAACACAGAGGAGAGAGAGGCTGTTTCCTGTAGCTCACATGTACACTAAGCAAAGCTAAACGATGGATTCTTCGAAAAATAAAGAATCCACAAAATGTGGCTTTCAAGACAGTAAGTTAGGCTCCAACGACGAAGAAACAGCGGAGTTGTGTCCTGGATTCAGGGACGTGGACGCATTCGTTAAAGTGAGTGAACTAGGCGCAGTGATTTGGAGTTCAGGCTACTAGTCAGTTTGGAAACGTGGGTGTGCTTGTTAGCTATGAGCTGTAGCAAATAACTTTAAACTATTTGGCTGTAGTCGCATTGTGTTAGGTGTTGGTAGAAAACACGCACAGCTAGCTGCTGACACAAGATTTGATTTGATGTTTATGCCAGCAAGTGGCTATGTCATTGGTGTGCTAAGTAATTAGCCTGTCTCAAGCTAATTGTTTATTTCTTGGAACTAATTTAAATGAGCCATAATCGACTAATGTGTCAATTGCATGGATTCGTTAAATGTTTAAAATTGCTCAGTTAGGACCAACAGTCTGAAAACCCAAAGCTATTTAACTTAACGTTAGCTAGCTAAAGAGATGTGTTTTAACTGAAGAGAATCCAGCAGATATTTGGTGTTTTTACATAATGAATATCCATGTTTTACTGTGCAGGGATAACTTTCTTGTTGTGAAAAGACCAATAGCACATTAGATATTAAATTAAGGCGTATATATCAGTTTTTCCTGCCTTACATTTTAACTTGTACTACATTGTATTATATTATATAATATATTTATATATTTTGTTTACTAACTCAGCTTTACATATATTATGTTTGTTTACTAACTCAGCTCGTCTCTCTTCTGCAGTATGGACTGGGCGCTGTATTATCAGCCACCAAAGCATCCGCCGGGTTGCCTCAGGCTGGAGATGAGTATGATTTCTACCGAAGCTTCCCAGGCTTCCAGGAGTTCTGTGAAAATCAAGGTGGTAAGCTCTCGCACTGGTGAGTGGATAGTATGTTGTTGCATCCTTTGAGTTAAGGCTTTGTCAGACTTCCATCTGTCTGCAAATATTTGCTCCGCCTGCCATTCATTTACCTTAAAGCCCATACTACTGACAAATTGAGGAATATATTCGCCCTGGGCTAAAAGCAAGTCTGTCTGAGCCTTTGACATGCAAAGAGAAGTGTGTTTGCTGAGTAACCTGCCACCTGCTCTTTCTTAGTAAAAGAAATTCATTCTTTTCGCTGTGCTAGCATGAGTCAGATAATGCAACAACATGGCTGCAGATCTCACATGAGAGGCCGCAACAACCTGACGGGGCTGGAGGAGCAGTTTGATTTGGTCATTGATGCAAATGACGTAATCCTTGAACGAGTGGTAAGACCCACAGCTTTGGTGTTCTACTAGATTTCTTACAGGAAAGTCTTTGCAAGCCAGCCAAGCTTGTGTATCTGATTTCTAGGGCATTCTTCTGGATGAAGCTGATGGTGTGAACCGAAGCCAGCAGCCTGTCATGCCTGCAGGGTTCCAGCCTCCCAAGATTGTCGTTTCCAGCTGGAATCGCAAGGTTAGCTAATTAACCTCTCAGCTCTTCTACTGTGGATGCCAGTGTCTGTTTTGGGCTGCGTTCAAGCTGAAACATTATATGCCAGTCCTGGCATTCGAGCACTTAAAACACTAGAACGTTTGGGGTGTTTTTTGGAACGTCATGAATATTCATACTGGTGTTTAACGCCATTTGGTAAACAATGCTTTTATTGATTAGGGTTCAGGCTCTGGGAGTCGATCTGAGACATTCCGACTACTCCACGCCAAGAATGTTGCGAGGCCTCAGCTGAAATTCAAGGAAAAAGTTGACAACAGCAACACACCATTTATTCCCAAGATCTTTATTAAGCCCAATGCAACAAAGCCTCTTCCCTCTTGTAAGACATTTTTTACTATTCTGTTCTTCCCATGTGTTTTTTCCCATTAATTAGACATATAGGCTTAACTCTTTAACATTTACAGCAATTTTTTTTACTCTCTTCCTCTCTACTTGTAGATTTCACTGACAAACAAATCCATAAACAGAGACCTGAGGACCTGGATGTCCCAGCTGCCCTGGCTGACTTCATTCACCAGCAGAGAACTCAGGAACATGTTGAAGACATGTAAGACTCCTCCCTTGTGTAATATTAACATTTGGACTTTTCTTGTTTTTTGTCATCTGTTTAAACTAAATATTTTGATCCATCTAGGTTTGCACACCCATACCAATATGAACTGAACCATCTTACAATACCAGAAAGCCTCCTGTCTAAACCAGACCTGCAGGCAAGTTAGAGTGAGGTTATAATATGATCTTCTCATTGTTCATTAGGCCCATGTCTGATTTGTTATGTCTGGATTATTTTGTTGTTGTTTTTTTTTAGATTTACAAACCATTGGCTGAGACCAAGTGCTCTTTCATTGAGACTCTGGAGGATCTGGTGGCTCTGAATGAGAAGCTGTGCAAACTGTCTGAATTTGCAGTGGACCTTGAGGTGCAAAGATCATATATAAAATTAGATCTAATCAAAAAGCCAAGCAGGTAGCCCCTTTTGTGAAGCTTGAGGTTGGAGGTTTATGTACACCTAAATGAGTCACACTCAGTTTTTCCAAACATTTCATGTCGATATATTTTTCTTTTGTTCGTTACATTATTTTGATGTCAGATTTCTGAATAATAGAGAGAATTTTTATTTTTAGCTTTTATTTATCACATTCTCAGTGGGTCAGAAGTTTACATACACTTTGTTGATTTGGTGGCATTGCCTTTTAAATTGTGTAATTTCTAGTGGATTAAGGTCAGGGCTCTGTGATGGCCCCTCCAAAACCTTGACTTAGTTTTTGTTATTATTTTGGAGGTATGCTTGAGATTATTGCATCCAAGCTTTAGCTTCCTGGCTGATGTCCTCAGATGAAATTTCAAATATAGTTGTCCTTCTTCATGATGTCTTCAGTTCTGTGAAGTGCACCGGTTTGTCCTGCAGCACTACCAGTATGGTGACGGCCAGACTTGAGCTTCAAAAGTGCTCTTCAGAAAACCAGTGGGTGATGCCATGGTGGGTTTGTCCATCTTTTATATACAGCCGCACCCCCAATTGACTGCCAGTAATCACAGTTGGCCAGTCTCAGGCTCCTAAAGTCATGACATCTGTTGCTGCCTGGCTGTTTAAAGAGACATCAGGCTTGGTGTATGTAAACGTTTGGCCCATTGGAATTATGACATTGGGAAATAAATCTGTCGCTGATCATCTGTGGGGAAAATTAGTTTTAACTTGCCAAAAGTTTCTGGAGTGGTGGTTCTTTGTGTGAGGCTGTTGTTTGGGCTGTTATAAAGCAGTCAGGTTTTTGTGTATAAGCTGGTGGATGTGGACAGGTTTTGTTAACACTCCTCCCTCCATCACAGCACCATTCCTACAGGTCTTTCCTCGGCCTCACGTGTCTGATGCAGATCTCCACGAGAGATGAGGACTTCATCATCGATACCTTGGAGCTCCGCGGTGAGATGTACATCCTGAACGAGGCATTCACTGACCCGGCTATTGTCAAGGTAATGGAACAGTTCCACAAATCCTTTTGCTGAGACTAACTGTCTAAAGAGAAGGTGCAATTACATGGCTTATTAGGTTTGTTTTTAGAATGGGCAGTGGGTATGGGCTGTGTAGGTGTTTTTAATGATTATAGCTTTTGCTAACATTCCTTTTGCTTGGATTACCTTGTGAAACAATTGCATCCTAACCATCCAATCATCTCCTTTTGAATTAGAGAAGAAAGTCACCAACAATGTAGTAATGCTAGGTTTTTGAGACTTAATTTCTTTGAGGTGTCTCTGAGCCTTACTGTTTTCAAACGTTCAATAAAATCGGTGGGTGTCCTATGGTGTGTGTGGGAGCCACCATGACTCACGCACTGTAGGACCCCTGTGAAAATGTGTGCTGTGTGGGCTTTGAATACAGAAAGGTCCTGTGAAAATGATTCACACAGAGATATGTCACATGATGTGTTCCCAGATTTTTATGTTTTTTGGCTCCAATATGTTCTGTATCTTAGCAGTCTTTGCTTTTTTTTTTTCTTTTTAATTAATCAGTACTTCACCGGTTTCTGCTGAATGTGTTTATTTGTGTGTGTATCTCAGGTATTTCACGGCGCCGACTCTGACATTGAGTGGCTCCAGAGGGACTTCGGCTTATATGTCGTCAACCTGTTTGACACACATCAGGCCAGCCGAGCTCTGAACCTGGCCAGGCATTCCCTCGACCACCTGCTCAAACACTTCTGCAGTGTGGATTCTGACAAACGCTACCAGCTGGCTGACTGGAGGATTCGGTATGGAGATGAATGAGCCATTTGATTTGAACATTTCTGTTTAGGTTTAACTGTGTGATGGTTTCTTTTCATGAGAAAATCATTCATTTATTTCTGGTTGTTTTCTAGCATTTAAAAACTTATTGACTTTGGGCAGTTGAAGTAAAAATTGTCCCACAACTTTACCCTGTAGCCCCTTGCCAGATGAGATGGTACAGTATGCCCGGACAGACACCCACTACCTCCTTTACATCTACGACTGTGTTAGGGTGCAGCTCTTGGACTTCAACCATGGGCAGCCTGGCCTGCTGCAGTGTGTGTGGAACAAGAGCAAAGAGATTTCCCTGAAGGTGTGCGCACACACACCCCATGAAGATTAAATTAATACATACACATCTGCCTCTGTACTCCTCTCTGTCCAGTTGTTGCCTGGTTTCGTTTATTGTTTTCATATTTTTAAATGGTGCCCACCATAAATGCATAAACTTTCTGACATTTGCTATTATTCACCATCTGCCCCACTTCCATACAGAAATATGCGAAGCCTATATACACAGAGGAGTCGTATTTGGAGCTGCAGAGGAAGCAGAAAAAGTCTTTTAACACCCAGCAGCTCACTGCCTTCAGACTGCTGTTTGCCTGGAGGGACAAGCTGGCCAGGCAGGAAGATGAAAGCACTGGGTAGGCTGTTTGGCAATGGATGGACTGGCTGTTCTGGAAATCTGCTAAAGCTCTTTCCATATTTATAGTTCATGTCCAGCCAGATTGTGCAACCCCTCGTGATTTTGTGACAGTTTGCCAGCTTTTAGAATCATTCATCATCTTTCAAAGTTGTCCTTGATATGTTTTAATCTCATGTTATTTGTGTATTTAGATATGTCCTGCCCACTCACATGATGAGCAAGATATCTGAAGAACTGCCTAAGTAAGTTGATTAGAGTTCCCACTTAAATCTGGATTGATGTTAAATCGTAGTTCTCTTCACATCAGTGCAGGTGAGTTTAGTATTTTTAGCCATAACCCCCAGCACAGTGCTTTGTCTTTGTCTATTCAGAGAACCTCAGGGCATCATTGCCTGCTGTAACCCTGTCCCCCCGCTGGTGAGGCAGCAGGTCAATGAGCTTCATTTGTTTGTGCAGCAAGCCAGAGAAATGCCTCTCCTTAAGGTGAGAAAAGATGACTGTCAGCAATGGGGATAGAAGGGTTTTGTCTTTGTCAGTGGTATAACTTCAGTGTTATGGCACTTGTCAATGAAGGTATCTAAATCAATCAAACATAATGTTTGATTCACACAGGCTGAGATTGCAGCTCAGACGAAGAAGGGGCTCACACCTATAAAAAAGGTTGGTTTAAAAACAATTAAACCAGCTGGGAGATTTGCATTCATTGGTTACTGAAGAAACAGCAACTTGGGTAAAATAATTGGGATCTTGTGTAATTTTCTAGCCAGAGGTCACGTTGTTTGGTCCCCATGATACATCCAGAGTCTGTGGTGGCGATCACCCCCACTTTACTCCCAACGGTAAGCCTGAGACATGCTGCACATTATCCTGGTGATTTAATCGTTTAGCCCATTAGACATTAAGCAAATGCATTTATTTCTAGATTTTTAATCGTTTAGCCCATTAGACATTAAACAAATGTATTTATTTTCAGATCTACCTGTAAAACAAGGAATCCTCTTCTCAAACGAAGAACACGAAATGGATGATGTACAGAAAACAAGCGGTCTCATAGCACCACCTAAAATCACACTGTTTGAGGTGGAGATCAATTTTTAATTTATTTTGACCAGTTGGTTTTTGTTTAAGTGTGATAACTAATCTGAGAACTTCCTTTTGAAGGAGCTAGAAACAAAGAACGATGAAGAGTCCCTCTCCGTTGCTCAGATGAAAGCCAAACGGATCAACGAGTCTTTTGAAAACCCTTTCAGAATGGTGAGAGACAGGTGGCTATTCTTCAGTGTTGCTTGTATTTTATTTAACTGGACACGCAGTATTCAGCTGTCTTCTTTGGGATTTCAGTATTTACCCTCCAATGATGTGCATGTCAACAAGAATGCAAAGTTTGACCCATCTTCAAAAATATTTGAGGTACTCGGAAAGCTCAGTGCATTCACCCATATCCAGACTTATTTGTGTTGTCCTTTTAACGACGTGTGTGTGAACGTTCATCACTGTACCATCTCACATTTACAGATTAGTAAACGATGGAAGCTGCAGAGTATTGAACAGCAACAGAAGGAGTTAGAGGCCAGTAGGAAAGCAAAGGAAGAAGCAAAGGACCGGGCAAAGAAATTAGCAGGTCAGGATCTCTTAAAATTACATAAATTAAAAAAAAAAGTGTTTAAAGTCATGTCCCTCATTGGATTTTAAATGTTGATTACCACAGAGGAAAGAAACAAGACTAAACAGAGCTACCAAGAGTCTCTCCAGAATGTCACCACAGTTCGCCAGCAAGCAGCCGTGAGTCATTCTCTTCTCTCATCCTTCCATTTCCACTTCACATAGACTTTGTACCCTGTCAACCTCACTGTTGATGTCCCTGTTGGGAAAGTACAAGTCGATGGAAAAACACGAGTTACAATCACCCGAGAGCCTGGCACAACATGTTAAAGTAGCTAGTTTAACACTGTGCTGTGCCCCCCCATTTTCTTAAGGCATGGCTGGTATTTCTGTATATAAATACGGTGAGTCACGAGTGAGCCGCCGCTGCTGGTCTATAGCACCGACGTAGAGTAGTAGCCTTTTAATATTTATATCTGTTACATGATGTCCCTGGGGATGAAGAAAGCTCAGCGTGGGATTGGAGCGTTAGAGACGTGTCCTCCACTCATCAAACACTATTTTCCCCCCCTCCTGGGAAACAATAATAGCTGCTTTCTGCCCAAAAGCCCACTTCCTTTTAGCTCTATCTCTCTGGAGTGTTGCTTGGCACCCTCCTGTTTGGTTACTCGTGCAGTACATGCTTTTCCCACCATACGCACCATATGGTGTTCTCTGGCTCTTTTAAATGTCCAGTGAGACAAAAATCTAGAACAAAAAGAACGGTCACCACCATTTGACTCTTGGCTCCGTCCTTGCTTGGTGGCACTGCTTCCCCTCAGTGTTTTCACTGTGTGAGCCTTGAGCCATCCATCGATAGCGCACACTGTGATATCTTGTGTGATGATGGCTTAAATCAGAAGTTGATTTTATGGCACGCTCTGTTGAAACGGCGTCTTCAGATAAGCAGGTTGGCGTCAGAAGTGTTGGCAGCGGCGCTTGAAAGTAACACTCATAAACCTGCCAACTTCTGGCAAACACTGACTGTGTTGGTTCACTCTCCCTTTCATTTGGCGCTTTGGCAGGGAACGTTCCGTGTCTGATTTCAGCTTTAAACAAAGCTTTGTTGTTTTCCAAAGCTTCTGATATTGTGATTCATACAGGGTGTGTGCTGTGCTCGGGCTTCAGCATGGCTGCTTTTCTGTTGCATCAAAAAAATCAAAGGTCAAAATTAAGCAAGTTAGATAAATGCATCAAAAATAGTAACGGGAAAGTGAAAACATGATTTGTCAAGACTCAAGTCTGATGTGCATCCATAATAATCTTTTGTAAATTAATAGTTATTTGAAACAACTGATCGTTAACAGCAGTATCATTGATATCCTCATGAATAAGGATAATAAACTGTACTGTTTGAAAAATGTGTTTTTGCAGAGCAGTCATGAAGGTAAAACCTCTGAGGTGACACTGGTGCTGTCAGTCACTGCATATGCTGTGATTGTAGTTATGTAATGTGAAGCAAACCCAGCCTTGCAGAAACCTTCCCTCATGGATTAAGCAGCTGTATAAGACTATATTGGCTTACACAAACAGGGAGAGCAGAGTCACTACATGATGATCAGATGAGACGCTTTAAAGGGGCCTTTGTTATATACGTAACTAAAGATTAACGGGAGATTCTGGAGTTTGACATGACACTTCAGCCACTAACCTGCTGTCTGGATAATAATACAGTAGCAGTCAACTTGAAGAGCAACTTAACGAACATTTTAAAATGTACAGTTGCATAAACGCAAGTTACTGTATTGTTATACAGTTATGTTATTGTGTAATGCTTCTTCTTTCTCTTAAACCACAGAGCAGCCATTGTGTTTTAACCAGTTAATACATTGACATCAGTCTTACCCTAATCACTGATTATACATCTCATGTTTTCAGTGCATGTGTGACAACGGCACACAGTGTGGTCAGCTGGACTCAGCAGAAATGTAACGCACTGATGTTGCAGGTTGTGAAGTGCAGTGACAGTTTTGACCTGTAGGTGTCAGCAAATGCTAGGTTTTCAACTTCAGACTGTTTCATCATTCATACTGTGTGGGAGTCCCTGCCACATCATCCTTTCCATGTACCAGTGCCATGTGGTATGAAGCTATAAATGTTTATGCCAGCTAAGTATGCAGCATAAAATATGCCTGGTAAATTTTGTCAGTAATAATTCTTTTAAACTCCTTACCTTATCTTGATGTGTCATTTTATGCAAAGTCATGTTGAACCCTAAATGCTTGAATGATTTAAACCCAGAATATTAAAATATCAACAGTAATCATAAAGAGCTGTTTAAACTGCACACTACTTGTATCATAGCTAGGAACACTGTTCATTGTCTTGTTAGTTTAACAAAATAAACTGCTCAAAACAGTTAAGGGAACACTTGATCATCACTGTATAACACCAAATCAGTTAAACTTCAGGGATATCAATAAATCTGTTTTAGAAGCACAAGTGATTGTGAATCAGTTTCACCTGCTTCGGTGCAAATGAAGGTGACAGTAGGTGGAATGGAAAGGCAAAAGCAAGACAACCCCCAAAAAGAGCTGGTTTTACATGTGGTGGCCACAGACAAATGCTCTCTCCTGATCCTTCCTGAGTGATTCTTCTAGCATGAGGCAGTACCTGCAGCCCAATCAGTTGGTAAGGGTGGTCCAGTTACTCCATGATGGCACATTCATAAGTACAGTTGCAAGAAGGTTTGTTGCATCTCCCAGCACAACCTTAAGAGCATATAGAGATACCAGGAGACCGGCCATTACATCAGCAGAGCTGGACAGGGCTGTAGAAGGGCAACAACCCAGCAGCAGCAGGGTCGTTATCTGCTCCTTTGTGCAAGGAGGAACAGGAGGAGCACTGTGAGAGCCCTACAAAAGATCTCCAGCAGCTACGAGTGTGGATATTTCTGAGCAAACTGTCAGAAACAGACTCCATGAGGGCCAGATGCATGTTTCTGACCACACTGTCAGAAACGGACTCCATGAGGGCCAGAGTCCTCTAGTATGAGATGTGCTCACAGCCCAGCCCCGTGCAGCTCGATTGGCATTCGCCAGAGAACACCAGAATTGGTGGGTCAACCACTGACATCCCGTTCTCTTCACAGATGAGAGCAGGTTCACACTGAGCACATGTAACAGGTGTGAAAGAGTCTGGAGATGCTGTGGTGAACATTATGTTGCCTGTAATATCATGGAGCATGACTGGTATGGTGGTGGGTCAGTGATGGTCTGAGGAGATGTATCCTTGGGGGGCCACACAGACCTCCATGTCATAACCAACAGTATCCTGACTGCTGTGAGGTACCGGGATGAAATCCTCAGAGCGATTGTCAGACTTTACGCTGGTGCACTGGGCCCTGGGTTCCTCCTGGTGCAGGACAGTGCCCGGGCTCATGTGGCCAGAGCGTGTAGGCAGTTCCTGGAGTAGCACCACAGACTATCCAGGGCTGGAAGGAAATCCTCCGGGACACCATCTGCCGACTCATCAGGAGCATGCACAGGAGTCGGGAGTGCGTACAGGCACACGGGGCCCAAACACAGTTCCGAGTCACATTGTGAGTTGCCATGATGAAATTCATGCAACTTGGATGAGCCTGTGATTTATATTTTTCACTTTGATTTTCAGTGTAGTTTTTGAATACACCCCTCCATGGGTTGATGATTTTGGTTTCCAATGACTGTTGCAAATTGTACAATGTACATTAGTAAAGGTTTTCAACTTGAATAATTTGTTCATCAAGACCGGCTGTGTGATTTGAGTGTTCCCTTCATTTTTTGAGCACTGTATATACATTTGGTTATCTCTTCATAAAATGCTAAATCTAGCTGTTAAATAAATAAATAATAAATAATCTTGACCAATTCATCAGGAATCTGCAAAACGTGGTGGAAAGAAAAGAGAGCGGATCGCCAGTGAGGAGGTTACAGAGTTGACTCCCAAACCAAGTAAGAAGCTGATGAAATCTGCAGAGGGGCCCCGGAAGACAGAGCCATCTCCATCAGACAGCTTCACGCCCTTTGACTACAGCCAGTCAGACCTCAAAGTCTTCGGTGGTATGCATATGTGATTTTTGTTTTTCATCACATTGGAGAAATCCCTTTTTACATGACATTTAGTTAGTTATATAAAAATGAATTCAGTTCACCCCCTTTGTTTTACAGGTGCCAAATCAAAGGGCAACACACAGTTTGATCCAAACCGCCAAGGCCATGATTTCAAGAAAAAGGTATTTGTTTTCATATGAATGTGAATAAAATCCACACCCCACACACGCACTACCGGTCAAACCAGAATCAAAATCAAGCAAGTTTCACCTACAAGGAATTTGTTTTGGTAATGTGGCGCAAACTCAAAAAAAGGGGTTTTAGAACACCCCTGTTTTATTGTCATTTATGCAGTAACCTTAAATGATACAAAGCTAAGAAGTAAATGACCATAGCTTAAACGTCACCAGAAACTAAAAATATATGTACATTTTATATAAATCAGGCCCCTTTTTTTCAGGGATTAAGTAATAGGAATAGGAACTTTTGCGATAGTGCTGTCTGTCCAAACAATAGTTGAGTTTATTTGCAGAGACAATGCCACGTGTGTTTGGCTGTTGAATTATACTTGTAGCAACTTGGCTTGATTAATTTAAATCTTTTGTCCAACAGAAAATTTCCAAGGGACAAAAATCTAATTCTGGAGCTGGAAATCGAAGTATGTCGTACCTGGCTGGAAAGTCTGAAAGGTAAATTTATACAAAATACAGTGTTAAGAGCTTTTACTTCATGTCAGTTCAAACATCCTAATATATTAACCCTTTTCTCTTTTTATGCTCTACAGAGGATTCCGACATAACTGGCCCAAAAGATAGGCTGGCTTTGATTATGTTTTCGGCCTTATTTTAAAACTTAGTTCCATCCTGCAGAAACAGGGATCCTTGTTTCTCCTTCCTTGGAAGTGAAATTTTGTATTTCAATATGTAACGAATTGTATTTGAAGTGTTTTGTTTTGTTTGTTTTTTTCCATCTCTGGGACAGTTTACCCTGTAAATATGTGGAAGCACAGGCTTCTTTATTAAAGATGGTTTTAGAGGAAAAAAGTTTTGTTTGTTTTTTCATTTTGGTGGACATAATCAGAGCTTCCTTCAGATCTTTCCTGTTTTATCCTTCAGATAAAATAGATAAGACTTTAAGGTAACGATAATCGACGTGGCGTGTCAGAAGGGAAACTCAAACTTAACATCTCCAGATTCATAAGATGACACAGTGGCGCTGTAGGGTGTTTTTTGTGTAAAAAGAAAACATTTTTAATTTTGCTTTCAGAAACATTGACTCTTCTGATGTTGGGATTATAAATGGTATGTGATATTAAGTCAGTGTTCTTCCAAAGTGAATTATCACCACTCACACAAAACCACAAGTCTTAGCACCTGCTTGAACAGCATGACCTTACATGACCCAATCAATGACAAACGACTGCTTAATAGCACATTCTACTTGTTATAACAGCCTCCCTGTTTTGAGGTGTTCCACAAGGTTTTGCAACCTAACTGCAGGGATTTGCCTCCATTAAAAAAGAGGATTAAAGAAGTCACGCACTGACCATGGGCATCTGCAGCATGTGCACAATACCCTGACTTAAGTATTAAGGCAAGTTGTGTTGTATTAATGGCAATAACCGTTTATAATAATGTAAGCTATTGTGCCTTATTGTTCTACTTGCTACTGGTTATATTTTTGAAATAGTATCACAAGCAACTTGGAAATAATTATGGCTCAAAGACTTAAAACACTTGCTCATTTCTCAGTTATTTTTTTGGATCTGCATTATTTCCGTTTTTCTTCAGTATAATTGTGAACGGGTTGTTTTATTGTAATGGTACACTTTGTTATTAATTTGCAGCCAAAACTAGGAAGCCATCCCCAGAATGGTCCCTTTAGCATTGGGTTTAAGACGTTCAAGAAGGTGGGGGCTTTTTGTGTGTGTGTGTGTGTGTGTTTGTTTGTTTTTTAGTGTTGGACTATCAGTGTATTTTGAGAGCGATGTCATAGGAGCTCGTATAATACATCCATGAAAATATCAATGTGGAAACAGTCACAGTTTAAAAAATAAAATAAACTCATGGTTGACACTTCCACCGTTCTCTTGCTTTCTGGTCCACGCCAACGTGGTTTAGCTATGGATGTATGGGCTTCGCTAATGGTTTAGCTTCACGTGGGTTACAGTTATGGGCGGGGCTAGTGGTGTGAAGTCAAACTAACTTTACGCGAACCAGTATATCCTGCCACCCCATTGGCTCGCACAACGGTATGCCACAACGTCATCAGCATCCTATTTGTTATACGGTGGTAGAATTTTTAGCAGGCAGACAACGACTGTCCAAGTGTCAGATCTTTGTCGTAACTTACATTGCCAGACTTAAAAACACGTTGGTATTACTTGTGGGTGTTGGTAAGTGTCATGGACCACATAAAAAATGGATGGTTTACGGAATTATGCACGTTATGGCCGGGGCAAGCGATGAGTCTCCAAGTAGAAGAGGTCCTATACCACAAGAAATCCAAATTTCAGGATGTTATGGTTTTCAAGAGGTGAGTACTTTTAGCTAACACTACTTGGCTAATGCTGCCAGCCACTAGCGTCTATTAGTAGCGAATAAATAGCGTAAATCTCGTGGGATCTTGAGGTTTTTCTTCATCTGCTTGTTACCAATGAGTTGTTCACTTTGCTTGAAGTTTTAAGCTAACAGACAAACTACGTGGCGATTTAGCTACAGAGAGGTAGCAAGGATAAATCCGATGAGGTTGATGAAGACCTACATGTTAACCGTTACAGCCGAGTAAAGTTACCCAGAAACACGATAGTAATCTCTTGTCCATTGACTTTGAGAATGCTAGTAGGCATGTACAGCACGCCTGCTGCTGCATGTTGCTCCAGTCAGGTTGGCTTTAGGGTGTATAAGCTTTCAAATGTGACTATCAAACTTTGCTGTAATGTGACTTTTCAGTAAAACCTATGGGAATGTCTTGGTGCTGGATGGAGTCATCCAGTGCACAGAGAGAGATGAGTTTGCCTATCAAGAGATGATTGCCAACCTTCCCTTGTGCAGCCACCCTTGCCCCGAGAAGGTAACCACTGAAAATGTTCATGAAGTTGCAGTACTGTTAACACCCACGTTTCTTATCATGACATGGTATTTTCCTTTTCACAGGTGCTGATTATTGGCGGTGGAGATGGTGGTGTGCTAAGAGAAGTTGTGAAGAATCCACTGGTGGAATCTGTGGTGCTGTGTGAGATAGATGAGGTGGGACCAGCAACACTGACAAGCATTCTGGCTTCTCTGTAGAGAGCTGTACTCATTACTGCTTTTTCTTGCTTTACACCTGGTCGTATCACGTTGATGTTTGCTGTGTAGGATGTCATTAATGTATCGAAGAAGTTCCTCCCAGGGATGGCAAAAGGGTTTTTCAGTCCCAAGCTCACCCTCCATATTGGAGATGGCTTTGAATTTATGAAGCAGAACCAGGATGCCTTTGACGTTATTATAACCGATTCCTCCGACCCTGTTGGTAAGTTCTACTTTGAAAGTGTAAACCTCTTCTTTGCCAACTATTACAGAAGGCATACCTTTTCTGAGTTGTGTTTTTGTTGCAGGACCTGCTGAGAGTTTGTTCAAGGAGTCTTACTATCAGCTGATGAAAGCAGCTTTGAGAAACGGTGGAATTCTTTGCTCCCAGGGTAACTTTTATTTCACTGCAGTTTTGTGTTAAAAGTTGGACAAATTCATTTATAGTATAGTGCTAACATGTAGAAGTCATAACTGTGCTACTAAATGATAATCTTTATCAAGTCTGCCACTAATTATTAGAGATGCACCAACTGCCTGATCAGTGTGTTCATCTTTACTGGTTGTTATTTATAGCTTTTATTAACTCTTGTGCTGTCTTGTTACCATTTATGGGTGTTTTTTCAACAACCTCAAGATAAAACAATACCAAAAAAGGCAGGCAGGAAATGAACATGGCCTGTGTTCTGCTCTTTTGTCAATTTTATAGGAGAGTGTCAGTGGCTTCATTTGGAGCTGATAAAGGAGATGCGAACCTTCTGCAAGACCCTATTCCCTGTGGTGGACTATGCCTACGGCACCATCCCAACTTATCCCAGTGGCCAAATTGGGTTCATGCTCTGCAGTAAAAATCCTGTGAGTGTATTTGTCATTTTTCATTTCCAATCCTACAATTATGTTTATGTAAAAGCCCTCTCGTTCCACAGTAAGTTGTCCGCTGTTTGTCAGGGATTAGTAATGTCCAATAAATGACTGGCGTCCCCCTTCACTTTTTAATCAGGAGACAAATTTCAAGGAACCGATGAAAGCGTTGTCAAAAGAAGAAATGGAAAATATGAACCTTAAATATTACAACCCTGAAATTCACAAAGCATCATTTGTTCTCCCTGAGTTTGCAAGAAAGGTAAGTTGTTAATACAGTTCTTCATATTTAATTTTATCCATTAAGTACTGGCTGATATTTGCCACCTTTGACTCAGTGTCTTCTTGATCATGAACAGGTGCTCAGTGAAGCATGACCGCTATGTTCATCCTCTACCTGGCCCTCAGACCACAGATAAGCAACCTTGTTCTACAGCTTCTCCATCTCCTCAACACTGTTCAGCACCACTGACTAGACTACCCTCGTAAAGATCTTATTGGCGGTGGCAGCTAATAATTCCAGGGAGGGAACCTGCTGAGTTACATAGAGAAAGTGTTAGATCAGTCCGATGTTTCCTTCCTTCCAGTCTTATGTGCTGCTGTTTATTACATTTTTTTGGTGTATTTAGGTTTTAATTTGTACTATGTATTTGTCTTATCAGCATTTTGTGAAGGGCAGTGTGATGGACTGGGCTCAGTGGGAAGAATATCGTCATCAAACCTTACCTCAATCTGAAATATTGTGTTGTTTATAGGATTCAACACCTCTTCATATTGGGCAATATGTTACATACCATATAGAGTATGTATGTGTAATGTATTGCTGCACTTTTATTTGTAATGTATAATGTCAGTTTGTGCTCATATGAAAATACACAGTCTCCATCTGTCATTACTCTGTACTTAGAATACTGATGTCCTCTACACATCAACCCTATAGTGCCTGAAAATGGTTGTTTATTGTTATTGTAAAAGAAAGTTCGTTCAGTATCTGTCCTAATGTACCAGGCAGATAATGTTTGAGACAGAAGTCCAGGAGTTTAGATAACTGTCCCTTTAAATACCGTAAGATGAAATAAATTTAATATGGAAGGCTTTAATGTTAATGGTGTTAAAATTACAATTAAGTAAAACCAAGGTATGGTATTAGAACTCTGCAAAGCCAGAAATGTCTCTTAAGATGTAAATTCATTGTGTAGTTATAACTTGCTGTAGTGGACTGAAGTAAACTTGTATTTTAAGTCCTACTGCACAGTGCTGGTCATTTTCTCTCAACGTTTGGTGAGAAACATCTTAGGTTACTACCTATTAGTTGTAAGTAAACATTGTCTTTGTTGAGGAGTGATGTCATACCCTAGCAATGAATTTTTGTTTTTCTAAGAGTCATGAACTGTAATAAACACAAAGATGAAATGGGTATTTGAGAGTGTGTGCGTTCACTCACTGATGCATTCACACAGGCTTGTGCTGCTTTGCACAAACAACAAACGGCTAAACGCAGGGCTACATTTTCATTGATGTGGCTACAGCCTGTCCTGCGTATTGTAATCACCAACTGCAGCATCACCTCCCAGTAATATATAGGTTAATGTGATGGGTTTAAGAGCTATTCAGCTGCTGGTCAGTGAAAAAGGTTTATATTAAACCGTCTTCTATGAGCAGTGCTGGGATACAGGTGAGGTTAAAGTGTAGTTTTAGTGTTCAGACACAAGATGGCATCCTTTACTCGATGCATACTAAAAACCAAGTTCATATTATTATTGAGGTCTAAAAAATACATTTATATTGTTCAAGTTAACCAAAGGCTTACTCAGAAAATATAACTAATTTTGGTTTACTTTGAATTTCCTTGGCTCAACTGAATTGTTCAGATCACTCAGTGGTTTGCAGTTTGATGTGTCACTGTTGCCCTCAGTTGCATCAACTCTAGTTGTTGTGTAAGATCTCAGTTCCTACTGGTTTTCTATTAAAATGTGCCCAACCTGCAACTGTGCAGTGCATTATTGTCATACTGCCTTTATAGTGTGTGTTGACATGCTGTAACATCGCAAATGAAGACCGTTGAGATACACACATCTCATAAAGTATGAGAAGTGTATGTGCTTTAAGGATGGACATAAAAACATGTAGTCTGCTGCAGTAATAGAATTTTGAACTTGTCTTTTTACATTTGTATGTTAGCTAAACTCCAATGTTTCCAGTGTAGTTAAATAGATGGATTTACCCACTTTGACACACTTTGAGTCGATATACCTCGGTGATCTCTTTTAGAAAGTTGTTGAGGTGGTGCTGGAGGCCATGTTTGAAGTAGATGTAGTGAAAATGGAAACTGCCACTCACATCAATACGATCTGGGAGATGTTATACCGGCCATCATGCTGGTGTTTTTCACTGTTTGAAGTTTTTTTTTTTTGTAGGCTGGGCTGTGGATACCTTCAAGGAAGCCAGTTGCTGAAGATTCTTCAAAGACACTGATTTGCCACTATAGCCATTTCTACATTCAGCTAATCTTTGGATTGGCTCTGGGCCTTCTTCACATGAGCACTGTATGAAGAAAATACCTCAAAAACTGTTTTCATGCACAACAAATCCATTTGAACACATCAGCCAAGGCATCTTCACTATAAGTACAGTCTGCTCCCTGCTGGTATCTGAAGACGTGACAGCAGTAAACTGTCAATTGTGCTACTGGAGGTTGAAGACAACTCTTCAAACACAAGAAAACACTTTCCTCTCAGGCAAGAATGTACAAATGTGGCACCATTCCACTTAAAAAGTTAAATGTCTCTGAAGGAAGTTTAAATTGTGCTTTGTTCTATATTTAAAAGAAATGGCACTTTGTTGAATTTTGATGTTACATGTTGTTTTAAACAATACAACAAATGAAAATGGCATGAACAAATATATCGGGACCCCTAGCCTAATATGTTGTAGAACACTCTTTTGAAGCAATCACTGCAATCGGGCACTTTGTTTAGCTCTTAATGAGAATGACCCTTCTCATCCAGTAGTTTGGCCCTCTCTTCTTGAGCAAACTGTCCCAGTTCTCTCAGGTTTGATGTTTGATGTGTGTTTTCCCAGCTGTGAGTTTCTGCTCTTTCCATAGATGTTCAACTTTATTATGAAATGAGGGCTCATAGCATGCCACTGCAGAATGCTCCAGTGTTTTCTTCTCATCCATTCTTGTGTGGTTTTAGATGTAAATGTTAGATCATTATGCTGTTGGAGGAGTCATGAGCTGTGATTGAGACAGAGTTCTCTGACACTAGGCAGAATATTTATCTCCATAGTGTCTTTATGATTTCATGAGTTTACTGTGGCCTGCACAAACTCAAGGCACGTACACTATGTCAGATGCAGCAACACAGCTCCATAACATCACTGAGCCTCCAATAATGTGTCACAGTGAAGATGAAGTTGTTTTATCTGAATGTGAAATTTAGACATTTCCCTTTTCTGCTTTATGAGGTTTGACTGTTTTTCCATAGTAAATCGCCAACTCACCTCATTACTCTAAAAATGTCACATATAATAACAAAAAAACCCAAAAGTGCTGATCTACTGACTTAGATAGGAAGCTAAAAAGAGGAATCTATCCTTACAATGCAATAGTGAAACACCCAAAAGTTGTGCTATGACAAGATAGAAATGCATCATACTGAATGCAGCCATATATCTATATATTTAGGAGTTAATGACCTTTAACCAAGGCACTTTCATCTATATTTCTCAGAAAACTCTGCTTTTCTTTCTCTTCTCCGTGTTCAGTATGATGCGCATTATGATACTAAACCTCGCTTTTCTTCCATTTTAGAAGATCTTTGTAAAATAAACAAGAATTCACCTATTTTCCCAGGTTCTTTGTTTATGAGGCATGCAGGTATGCATGACAAAAGCTTTTCATTTCAATACCTTTCAGGAAGAATGGAGTTTTGTTTCTATGAAGTGTAAGGGTACTAACCCTTTTAACCACGTCTGTATGTTTTATGCTGTAATCAGCTCTCCATTATGAGTTTTGGTGAGCTAAACACAATGTGTTTACATCATATATGCAAGTGTAATTGAGTTTTATAATAAATAGGAGTAACCCATTCAAATATTTTCTTTTTTAAGCCATAAAATGGAAGTCAGTAATGTTATTTAACCACATAAAAAAGGTTGATTTAGAAACGTGACTCACAAATTGGTCTTTATGTAAGATGCAACATATGTTTTTGAATCACCTCCATATTAGACAAGTGCATCAATATAATCATTTGTTGTTACACTGGTATAAAAAGTCAAAAACTGACATGTATGATGCTTTGTTCATATTTCCAGTAAAAGCTGCAGTATATAAGTCATATAAACAATGTAGTTCTCCAAAGAATATTGTGTGCTGAAACCATTGTTACATGCAGAATAATATAATTTAGAAAATACATTTAGTTGGGATATAGTTAAACAGTTTTTACAAACATTTTTATTTGACAAGCTGCCTGAGTTTGGTCTTATTTATGCACTCATGCCGTCTTTTACCAAACCTGCCTAACTTGTGTATCCTGAACCAGTTATGTTATTAATTCAGAATAGCAAATTAAAACCAGTTAAATCTGATTTATCGAATTGCCCATGGCAGCCATCAGCTCTGCTGTACATTTGTTGCTAAATTTAGGAATTAGAATGGCTTTTTCTTTTGATTTTTAAACAACTATATATGTTTAATCCACTAAAATGTTGATTGTACTTTTCCTGAAGGCACTTCCCTAAGTCATGGTTAGTGTCAGACCGTTCAATTGTAATCTGCAGGTGTCAGAGATGCACTCAGAGGCACAGTGGCAGGAAGCAGATGTTGACAGAAGTAGACAATCAGCACTAAGTCAGCTTGTCTTCTGTTTGTATTTCTTTTAGACTTTTTGTTTGCTGCTATACAGAAATGCGACCATTCTATCTTGTGCGTTAAGGATGGTTAGAGTATGTCGCACAGCTGTGGACTTGTCCGCCCACCTTCCTGAAGAGGTCTTGTTTGAGATTGTCTGCCATAACTGCCGATACACTAGTTACATGTTGATGTCAAAGCCTGCTTTAGCCAAGTGATGTCATCGCCTGCTGTGGCTGTTTCGGTCTGTGATTCACATGAATACAACCAGCTCACATTTTGTTAAAAGGCAAACTGTTCAATGCTTCCATTTATTGTGTCCTGACCCCTTCATCTCCCCTCCTCTTCCAAGCTCATGTACACACATCCAAATTACACATGCAACCTCCACCCTCCGTCATACACCCACCTCCTCTACGTCAGCTGCAGACAGGGGGAGAGGCATATAAAACAGTGAGTGACTTTGGAGGTAAAGCAGAAGAAACATCAGTGATTTCCAAATCTTGTGACCAGCTCAACTATACTTTCTCCTTCGCACTCCTCTGGATCTCCTGCTAGTCTGAGCTGCTCAGACTGTCTTTCTCGAGCACACACACTCATTCACTCACAAACTCCTGCTCCTGTGACTGTTGCTCTGGTCTGTCACCTGCCCCTCTGCTACAGCATGCAGCTCCTGGTGGTGTTAGCAGCTCTCATGGGGGTTCTGTTCAGCGTTAGAGCAGCTGCCGTGCTTCCTGTGGAGGAAAGGAGTCCAATTCATGTGAACAGGGTAAGGAGCTTACTGTTGTTCACTATACAGTAATAATAGAGTTCAAATATTTTGTTAAATCAACCAAAAAAAAAATCTTGTAATATTTCTAATTTGCAGTTGAAATAATTTATATTGATTAATACAGCTTTTAATTCATCCTGTGAGTTCATACCATCTTAAATGTAAAATATCAAAACTAATTCTTGAGCTTCTCAGTAAGATAATAAAGTTATTATTGAAACTGTTTTGAAGAAAGCTGCAAGATATAAGATTGTCAGATTTTCCATGATCTGGTCTCTTTAATATTATGTTTTCTCCTTTTCTGATTTTTGCTCAGGAGCAGACCAAAGAGCGAAAGGAGTTAATCCTGAAACTGGTGTCTGGCTTGTTGGATGGAGCTCTGGATACCAACATGCTGCAGGGGGAAGCAGCACCTGTGGATGTTGAGGAGCCGCTGGAGTCACGTCTGGAGGAGAGGGCGGTCTACAACAGGCTATCACTGCCTCAGCGTGACCGCAAAGCCCCTTGTAAAAACTTCTTCTGGAAAACTTTCACCTCCTGCTAACAGTGCCCCAAACCACCCAGCTCTGTCCTCCTGCCCTCCCAGCTCCACGTGAACTGTAGCAGACCTCAGCTGTACATATCATCTACACCTCAGACATGCAGCATCGATGGACTTCACTGAGACAGTGTGTCTGTTTGAATATTAATTATTTATGTATACAATGTATGTATTAACGTATGTAACCTTTTCTTTCAGGGTCAGTAATAAAGCATGGCTATAACATTTGAGATGCTAATAACAATTAAATAATTTTGAAAATTATTCAGTAAGAAAAAGGTCACATTTTTCACCTGCTTCTACAATATAAATGCAAAGTTGGATTTCATGCAAATATTTTGCCTGTATTTTTATTATGATTTGACCATTTACTGCACTAAAATTGTGGAAAAATTTTTGACTTTGCCATTATTACACAAACATATTTCTAAAGATCCTAAAATCCAGGTTGCAGTTGTTAATGTTACATGGAGGATACACACACAACTGTTCACCGTCTTTATTGAAAAGCAATCATTTTTTTAGTGTTACCGAGGAGGTAACAGCACGTAGTTCATAATCCAGATACCGTAATTATTCTGCCTGTTACTGTGCAATTTTTTGTCTTGTTTATCAACAACAACAACAAAAGTACTTAAAAGTAAAAGCAATATTGCCCCTTGGGTAAGAAAAATAAGATAAAAAGATGAAGAATTAAATCAAAGTAATGATGCCGTGTCTTAATGCTTTACAAGCATAAACGCATATCAATACTTCGATGAGAAGTGCACATTTCTTTGTACATGTTTCATCAGCTGCCAGACGGTGGTCTCGTTTGAGATGCTTCTGTGACTTTTCACAGGTCATTGAACAGGTCAGTGAGAGAAGAAGGAAAATAAATGAGAAGCCCTCGTGCTCACTCAGTGCTGTTACAGTACACGTAGTCAGGACGGTGGAAATCTGCTATACAATAAAAGAGTGAGAAAATGAAATGTTTAAAGATTGCTGGTCAGAAAGGATGTATGTGTTGCTGAGAACCTGACCTCACTGCCTAATAATGAAAGCACAGACATGGCTGCTGTTGCATGTTGAAATAATGAAGAGCTCCCCCTCTGACACTGTTCTCTCAGCAAACAAGATCCTGCACTACCAGCAGCTCACTTCTAAATCAGTCGCACCATAATTACCATGCGCTTTCGGAGCCCAACTGACATGTAGTGTAGGACCACTGTGATATGCATCTTTTTTAACCACTCGCAAAGGTACGTCAAATATTGGCTTTCAAGCCAGCCCGCAGTCCCTATTTAGTGATTGATGGATTTCGTCTGGTAAATTAGTACATGCAAATGAAAGCAAATGAAATGTCCTTCTGTGTGAGTCAGTCCTGATAGTCAGTCAAAAAATGGCCCATCGCAAAACTGAGCAAAATCCAAAAGAACAAGGAACAACAATTTGCATAAAATCATTTATAGCATTAAAAAAATACAACAAAACTTTCTGGCGCTTGATTGATGTATGCTAATTCCTTTAATGGCACTGAGTATTAAAATTAAGCTAACAAATATTCCCCTTGGCTCCCTTGTCACTTTCCATGTGTTGCAGTGAATACTTTAAAAAGATCTTCCCAGATATATAGCAGGCTTCAAATTTAAAATGCAACTTGTGTTCATTTTAATGTTAGTGAGTAGAAAATAGCTTACAGTAAATCAAAATTTAAATAATTAGGTCAGTGCTGTTAGAAGTTATTTAATTAAGCTACAATGTGCCACCAGAATCCACAAAAACCTCAGAGCCGTTTCTCTACACTCTCCTCAGCTGGGTTATTGTTTTATCTTCCTGAACAGAATGAATAATAGACAGATAATGTCTCATAAATGTGCTTGTGCAAAGGTGCAAAGACATGAGTTTACATAAGATCACAGTATGGCTTCAATTACAGGTGGAACACTCTTTTATTGTCATTCTGTACCTGGTAACGAAAAAAGCCTGTCTATGATCCATACTTGTTTGTATTGAAAAACACAATACAAACTCTCCTCTAAACACCATTTGATGGTGAGTTACAATTTTATGAAATTCAAAGCAATGTAATTACACGATTTTCACAGGGAACTCTGCTCTATCACTCCCTTAAATGATGCTGAATAAACAACGGTTCCTTCGGGGCTTGATTGCAGTTCTTTCATTCTTACATGTGTTACAAAAAGAAAGAGAAAGAGAAGACAGCAAAGTTATGCTCAAACAAAAAATGTTTTTGAAGAATAAAGAAAAAAAATTAAACATATAAACATTTCTACTCCTAAAAATGCACCGTCTGATACCAATCAGTGCCTCTGGGGTTGAGATTATTAACACAAAACAATCTGCTATCGGTAAAGGTGCTGTCCACTCTTTGGGCTCAAATGAGCAGGATCAACATCAAAGCTGATGCCTGCAAGCAAAGCATTTTATTGGCTGTCCTTTTGATCTGAAGGGGGAGGAAGAGGAGTACTCCAGCCTAACTGTGTAATTCAAATTTAAATGTGACTTTATATGTGCCGGTGTTCCAAAGTAACAACGACTTAGGTTTTCTTGGTGCTCTTCATAGAAGGGAAAACAACTTCAAAGTAAACCAACCATGGTTACATAAAGGCAGAAAATAGTTGTAAATTTTATGGGAAGTGACTATATATGTGTGAGTCATGGTACATCATAATACACTGTATGATTCATTATCATACATAGTTTTGTAAACATCATCCACAACCATGAATCCATATTGACATGCTGTATGAGAAGGACAGGTGGATATCTAGTAGTTAATGTCAAACTAATTTATCCATGGTGCTGACCTTTGAGGGGAGAGCCAGAGAGTCCAAAATGGAGGAAGCCGTTGTGGGTTTGATGTGTAGCATCACCCAGTTTTACGCTATGTAAGTCTTCTCCATCAGAGTGCTCATTGCTTCACAAGAGAGCAATGGTTGTCAGATAGTTATAAGACAGGTGTCAAGGGTTTGTGAACAAAATACTATATATAATGTAGCCTATCACAAAATATTGTACTGTATTATTTGGTAAATGTACTCAATGTCCTTTCTTTTTAGAGAAAAAAGTTAACAACAAATACATGTTATACTTGGTAATGTTACCTCTAGGTAAGCTGTGTCAGCCTCACTGAATTCTACATGGTCAGTGTGTCTGTCTGTGTTTCACAGGTGGGTCAGAACTCATTTTCATCCCACACTAGTGAAAATTTAGAAGAGGCTGACATCAAAACAGTTCTCTTACCTGGCCTCAATCGGTCCAGACAGGCCAAATTAACACCCAGCGCTCAGCTGATGCTTCTGGGGAAATGTGTGAAGAAGCAGGTTGTGTGGCAGTCCTCCCCGAAAGAACGGCCATGTCCTCTTCACTGCAGAACAAGCACTATTAACAAAAATGACTTTTATGTTCAAAATAATGGGTTTTTTAGAAAATGGAATGGAATGAAATATAGCCTATATATTCAGGTTACTGCAGCTGCTGTATGTTTAATATAATGTTTCATACAAATTCACATTGTAAATATAAAACAACGTAGCCATGTTCCTTTTACATCTGGGCTAAAAATAGACAGGGAAAGTATTCAAACACATTCTGGATTTTTATTTGATTCATTGTGCTTTGTTTCATAAATGAGGACAGAAGTTCGATGTGGTTTGTAGACATGTATTTGTACTTTATTAACCCAGCAAACTGTGGACACAGTGCCTGCAGCATTCTTATTCATCATTGTCAGCCAGGTTCAATTTGTTTAGTTGTGACATTTTAGATAGGTTGTATCCAGAGCACTGAACAAATGCAGTATGGTTGAGTAGTGGAGGCATTCTGAAGTGAAATAAATGTATAAGTAACCATTTTTTAAAATGTTGCTCCAGGGAAAGGACATGCCTGCTTGGAATAATGGACCTGCCTCTCTGTGTATCGTGGCAGGTCTGCATCACTAGATTGAGAGATCATTAGTGCCTTTTCAGAACAGACTCTTCTCTAGTCATTTGAAAGTATTTCCCATCTTCCTGCTGTTGATCAGTTGCTGTTTTTCTATTTTTTAAAACAAGATTTTAAAGATTGTTTTTACTGTACAGTAAAGGTCACTGCATAAAACTGACAATCATATGCTTCAGATTAAGTGAATTATGCTTTTCAAAGGCATCATAACAAGCTACACTGTCAGGAATATGGAGTCTCTGGACCATAGAATGATGCCCATTGTGACTGAGGAAAGTATTACAAAAAAGTGTCTGATTTATTTTTCCCAAAGAGTTGTCCTGTTTGGGAGCATCAGTGGGAATGGAGAGATTGTTTTTCCCCAGCAGGTCCTAATGATGCCTGATGGCTTATTCAGGCACCCGGTGCCAGCACTAAAAGCTGATCATTACAGGGCCTTCTGCTCTTTCAGTGCTAAAGCCGTGGCTCGGAAAATGAGCTGTCACCAGTGTCAGAAAGAGATGCAGCATGCTGGTCACTAGTGACCCAGTTCATTCTGGGTGACATTACTTTGGGAAGCTGGGCAGGTCTGTGGCGTGAAAGTAAAACACTGGTTTTCAAGCATCTATTTAACAATGACATTTAAAAGCTGTAGGTTGCAAACCAAAGGTTACTTTTATTGTAGCAAAAAGTAATAATCTTATCAGTTTAATAGTGATAGGTCTTAAACTGGGGGTTATTAGTGCGCTCTGATGATGACATCCTTGACATTTTCTGCCTTTACAGTGTAATTAGGACTAGCAGTAAAGAATAAATAAAAGTTCAAGACTGTGTAACTAGAGTGCCCTCAGTGACTAGTCTGTGTTGAAACAAGACTCTACAGCCATGCTAACAGTTGTGTGAGGCTGCACTGGGCACAGTGGTGCTTTGAGCAAAATGCTAATGTCAGCCTGTTAAACGCACTTACAAATTACATATTGTTGATATTTAATAAGTATACTGTTTACTACTAAGCAGCAAGGCAAAGTAGCATTTCATAAACAGTAAAGTATAATGTGCACCAGGTTTGCCAGCTTAATTAGCATGCTAATATTAATTAGCACTAAACACAGTGTAGCCCACAATTCTAGCCCACTTTCAGCCTAGATGGCTCTAACCATTTTGATCGTAAATCAACCTAAAACTGCTCAGCAGGTTATTTTATATGCCTGTGGAGATTCTCATTAATTTGGGTCTTGGTACTTTTAAGTCCAAAGTGCTAAAGTGGGCAAGTGCTTGAGCTTCTTGCAGACGTTTCACCTTGCCAGGAAGCTTCTTAGTTGGGAGGTAAAACATCTTCAAGAACCTCAAGCAAGTCCGCTTGTTCACTTTAGCACTTGTGATCAGTTTATGTCCTTGGCTGGACTGAATTAAAACTCTGCAGTTGGCAGCCATAAAGTGTAGCATAGAAACAGTTAATTGCACAATATAAACATGTATTTAATGTCTTATTTTAAAAATAAAAACTTTTCCTCAAACATTTTCATTAAAAAACATTAGACTCAGTTAAGTTATGCAGAAGCAGAGGATTATAAGCGGTGATGCAGAAGCACTGCGGTGCGGAGGTGTAGTTGTAGGCTTCGTTTGGTGACACTTCATAACATTTAATGATTAATTGTTTTGCACTCCATTGGCCAGCTGACACACTGACAACTAATTTCATCGTTTTATCTGTTTTGGCTCCTATGGAAACATGTCCAAGCAAATTATTGGTGTCTCAAGACCAGATTTCAAATCTCAAAATTGGCTTTGAGCTTTAGGACCAATTTCCACATGGATCCTATGATGAGGGAAGCTGTTTGAATACAAAATACAGCTGAGTTTGAAGAAAGAAAAACAACTCAAGCATTCAAGACATATACACTTAGATATAACCATTAACTTTCAGTTGCTGAGTGCTGCTGTGCTTTTCAAATATCTCTTTATTATGTGTTTTAATAAACAGAACACCAGGGATGTGAACAAAAAATAAAATAAAGTATATAAATATAAATAAACTGCTGTGTTATAAGTACTAAACTATCAGAGTAAGTATGATCTATCATAATAAAGCGCTAGGAGTTGCCATTACAGTTCATTAGTTTGACTTTATCGCTGAGTATCAGACTCATGACCAGAAGCCACTCATGTTGATAGTGCTCGTTAGAAGAACGAGCAGTGTGGGAAGAAAGTGTCATAACATGATATTGGCTGTGTTGTTTAAGTACTGTGGTGTATGATGTGTACAATATAGGTCCCCACTCACAAGGGTGACATTCCTGTGATTAGCCACTAGAGCTGTCCTTGTTTGGCTCAGCCTTTGCACTTGTAATAGATTTGTTGCCACAGCAGCAGATGAGGATCTCAAGTAATGTTATTTTCTCCCAGTCTGTAGTGCTGCTTTTGACTATTTTCAGGACAATTGGGCCCTTGTGGGATGCCAATACACCTGATTGCAGTTGCTCTAATAACACAAAATCCCTGTATGTCAAATGGCCTGTCCTCAAAATAAACAAAAATAAAATGATGTGAGTCATTGAGGTTCTAAATGTCACCACAGCATTATGGGTGACAGTGATAGTTTTCGTTTATTAATGGCATGTGAAGTCCTCGCCGCTGCTGACAAGAGAGTCAAGCCATTACTCATATTGGAAATCCATGTTTAAAATGTTCAGGCTGACCATCATTTTTCTCGAGCCTAACAGACCCGAAAATGTTTAATCAGTTATACATGAACTAGCCCACCATTAATATTCCTGCTAGAGTTATTGAGCCATGGCCTGTCAGCAGTATCATTTCATATCAGTGATGTGTTCATGATGAGTTGATGTATTAAGTTATTCATGGCTGATCACTTGTAGCCTCCCCAAAATTCAATAGAGCTGAGCAATATATTTGACTTGTGAAAGTCATGTTAGGTGAGCAAGTTTTCTTTTTTCTTTTAGTTAAAAATTGTCTTTTGGCTTTAAAGTGTAATTAGTTTTGTAAATGAGAGCTGTTTGAGCTGTTTGTGGTGCTGGAGTACCATAATAAAGAAAGGGACTCGGGGATGAGTGCAACACCTGTTTGCCATTTCTCATCATTGCTTTGTCGTACCAATGTCACTGACTGCTTTACTGCCTTATGATAGTTCGCTGAACGGCTAAAGCTGGGGCCTATTTGAATTAGCAAAGAAATGATCGTATCTGTTACCTGTGAAAAAGAGCCATGCTGGGCTAAATTGAAAGAGTAATGAGCCTGACATCAAGAATGAAATCCAGCACAAAAAGGCTCAACATCAATTCATCTGGCGCCATTCTTGATCATTATCAACGGGAGATGCTGGGAACCAGGGCGAATAAGAAATTATAAACTGATCATATGGATTTGGAATTTTAGACACTTTGCAGTAAGTGCACCTAAGGCCGTCTTACAACAATATGCAGCCATTACAACTGTTTAACCATCCTTAAATGCAGCTCTCGATGGACAAAAAGCATGCATGAAGTGAGTCTTTAGCGAGAAAATACTATGAGACATTTCCAGGTGTATATTTTACTGTGTTTTCTGCACCTACGCACAATGAACGACAACAATGACGCTGTTAATGGGAATTTTAAACTGAAAACCCTTCTCTCCTCAGAGCAAAGAGAAACGTTAATATATTGACAGCATTCCATCAATTTTGTTTGTTTAGCTTGAAAACGTCTGGCCTCGAGGCTCAAATCAAGGCATCAACAGAGCAAGTCCTTGGAGCAGCTAGGACAACAGAAGCAACAATATTTGAACCCTTTTTTATTGTATTTTTTTGAGCATTAAATATGAATGTTTCTTATAGAAAAAAAAGCTGTTGGTCTATCTGACTTGAAATCAGACAGTGACAGGTGAGTGAATGAGCCCCTGACAGAAAGAGACATCTTGGCCTTGGCTGCTGTAAAACAGTTTTTTTTTCTAGCAGATAGTGAGTTGCAAATCTGCATAACTACAGTGGACGAGGAAATTACAGTGGATTAACTCTACATTGTTCATCAGTGTTCAACTCAAGTGACACATCCCCACATATTCAGGTCCTTAATTACAGTTGTGGGTGGTTGAGACTGCTGTGACCACAGCCCGTGGAAAGGACAAAGAGGATGAGTGTGAGGATGAAGATGGCAGAGGGATGTCATAGTGAGGATAAATATACTCCTGAAGTGTGCTAGTATGTCTGGGACTATAATTTGTTTCTAGTACAAAATGTTCAGAGAAATACAGAATCAGGGAAAAATTGCGCTAGAAGCTTGTTGAGGTCACCCCTCAGGACCAGCAAAGAGCTGTGTAAATTGTGTAAAATGGGGTGGAAAAAAGGAAGAAATTCTCCCTCCTTCTTTCCAGCATCCAACATGACATTGACTTGACGCTCTCT